TAACTGTTGCATTCGGAGATGGTGGTTCCATTGAGAGTGAGTGAAACATCAGGAACAAGACTGTTTCTCATGAACATTGTCTTTGTGAGATTCAGTTGTAATACGACCTTTCCACACTCATGGTCGAAGTCGGTCAGCATTTGTGCTGCTTGGCTAAATACCCATATTCCAGAATTGCAAGCACCATATTTGATAGGGTTCACACATGGTTTGAACCATGGTAACACCTACAAGGGCGGTTAGAGGCCACCCCAAAAGCCTCTATCCCTCTCGGAAAGCCTGGCAAGCTACTGAGAGTATTCCGCCCGCACGGCAGAGCCTTGCAAGCTATCCGTTGTGTATTCAATATGCCAAAACCAGTAATTACAATGGGTCTCATTCACCTGACTCTGAAGGTGTCACCAATATGGGAGCATTGAGAAGGATGAGAAAGGAGAGGCTGATAAAATCTCAAGGCCTAAGTAGGCTGCCACAACAAAGGAAGACAAAAATGATCGTCTGTACTTTCAATGCATGTACACTAGCATCAGATGCGTCCATTGAGGACTTGATGGTACAAGCACGAAAGATCAAGTACGACATCATTGGTCTGACTGAGACAAGAAGGCACCAATCGCATCACGCTGTTTTCGCACTGGAGAAGAATTGTTCCTCGGAACATGCGATAAAAGAGGTGTCGGAGGCGTCAGTGGCGTCGGTGTCCTTGTCAACACAAACTTGGCCATGAGCATTGATTCATTTGAATGCCTAACAACCCGAATCAAAAGTTTACATTTGAATAGATGTGGCTCACAGCTGGCAGTTTCTATCTTTGTTGCCTACACACCAACAACCAATTATGATGAAGGAGAAATTGAGAAGTTCTACATGGAGCTGGAGAAGTTCTATAAAGAAGAGCACACCTTCTACAAGATCATTGTGGGTGATTTTAATGCCAAGATAGGACTGAGAAGATCAGCCGAAGAACTTCGCATCGGGACCCATGACCTAGAATGGAACGAACAAGGTGAGAGACTGTCTGAGTTCATCATGTCGACCAAGACCATCCATGGTAACTCAAGATTCCAGAAGGCCAAATCTAAACGTTGGACTTGGGAATCTTCTGGTGGATGATTCCACAATGTAATAGACCACATCACATTCTTTTTTTTATAATTTATTTATTTATTGAATCACTGTGGGAAAAGTTACAAAGCTTTCAGGTTTAGGTCTCGGTCATGCAAATATCAAACACATTTCCCTTTACCAATACTTATTTTTCACCACAAAGAACCCCAATAAACCCCCACCCCCCCCACCCCTCCCAATGCCTGTGAGGCAGATGAGTTCTAGTTAACACTCTATCTACTTTGACTAGATTCATTGTTTCGATAAAAGATGCACCATTATTATTTAGAGTTTACCCCCCCACCCAAATCAGACAAGCTGAAAAGGCATTGTGAAATGATTTGCTTTCTACAGCTGGGTTCAAGAATTAAATGATGGTTTTGGATTTCTGCTATTTTACTTATTAACCCTGGAAGTATTTCTGCTGAGAGTCAGATAATTTAAGAGATTGGTTTCTGTGCTCTGGAGCCATGGCCGTGCCAGAGAGCCGCTCGTGGGGGGCAATTGGTGACCTCAGTAGGGCGTGAAGGACGAGCCGGGAATGTCCCCCTTCCCATGAGGTTTTAGTCACCCCGTCACCACCGGCTCATACCTGGCTTTCCACAAGGCTCCCAAGCGGCTGCCATCTTTCTTTCCTGAGGGGAGAGGGCGGAAGGGAGCAACACCCTTTCCCCTCCGGGCAGACATGGTGGTGAGACCACATCATATTCAATTGACGGTTTTCAATTGTCGCTGTGTCCCAAAATTCCAAACGGGATTGTACCACCGTCTCCTTTGTGCAAAATTCTACTTCACAGAGCGGGGAGAAAGGGCTGCAAAGTCTAAGAAGAGATCTCCCAGAACAACCTCCAACTGGGAGCTCTTTGGCACTATTGCGGCAACATGGAAGGATGCCATTGTTGACAACATTGACGAAGAATACGATCAACTGGTTCAGCAGCTCCATGATTGTGCCAAGAGAGAGATAGCCACCAAAAAAACGCCTGTCTTCGAAAACTCTTGAGCTTATTCGCCAACGTTGTTTGGCGCATGCCTCAGGCAACCGCAAGCGAACGTCCGAGCTCCCAAAGCAGTGCAGAGATGCGATCAAGGAAGACCTCAAAGAGAGAAGAGCAGAAGTGCTGGTAGATGCGGCAGAAGCCAGGAAAAGTATTCGTAACGCCCACCTGTCCTTCGCCAACTACAAGACCAAGATGACTGCCCTCCGATGTCCTGATGGATCTATCACATCTTCCAGAAGTGCAATGGAGAAGATTATCCATGACTTCTACTCAAATCTCTTCGATAGCCATGTCCACCTGCCAACATACCAAATTCCACAGGATGGATATGTTGTTCCCAAAGTTCTCCGTTCCGAAATCTGACACGCCGTTTTGTCAGTAAAGAGACAAACAGCACCCAGACTAGGTCAGACCTGAATACCTGAAGAACCTGCCGTCAGTACTCATCAATACGCTGGCTCGGCTCTTCATGCGCTACCTGTCTCAATGCAAGGTTCCGTCCCAGTGAAAAACCAGCAGGACTGTACTACTGTATAAGAAGGGAGACGTCCATGACATTGGCAACTATCGCCCGATCTGCCTGTTGTCTGTCATCTACAAATTGTTCACTCGAGTCATCCTGAATAGGATTGGCAGAACACTAGATGAAGGATAACCATGCGAGCAAGCTGGGTTCCGCAAAGGATTCAGCACCATCGACCATATCCACATGATAACCAAACTCATTGAGGTTTCTCGGGAGTTCAAGATGCCACTCTGTCTAACGTTCATTGATTTAAAGAAGGCCTTTGATTCTGTTGAGATGGAAGTGGTCATTGAAGCCCTAGCCAATCAGGGTATTCAAACTCAATACATCAGGATCCTCCATGAGCTGTATTACAGATTCACTACCAGGATCTCACCATTCTACAAAGAAGAAATCATTGATGTCAAGAGAGGGGTTCGGCAGGGTGATATCATTTCACCGAAACTCTTCAGTGCCACCCTCGAGAACATCATGTGATGACTGGAATGAGAAGGAATGGGAGTGAAGATAGATGGTCGGCAACTACACCACCTCCACTTTGCTGATGACATTGTTTTAATAACACCAAACATGAGTGACCAATAGCGTATTTTTGTCGGGCAGCCCTGATTTAAATGATTGGTTTGTGTTTTAAATGATTATGATCAGTTTTTTTGAATTAATGATAATTCCAGGTCAGCAAGTGCAATCACTGTCCCTTTCCAAAAATATGATTGAACTTAATTCTCCACATTCAACTTTTCAAGGGATGGAGATGGCCGTCTCATACCTGTGGGAGAATAGTTTTCTATTCAGATTTATAGAATCAGCTATATTAATATATCTAAAGATTGAGGATATCACAGTCTCCTTAGGTTGTTTCTTAGCCTGATAAGATTAGTTGGCAGTGACCTTATATCTTTTTCTTAATTGTGGTAATTAAAAATTCCCTGTATCTAAAAATGTTGCCTTTCACTTACTGAAGTGAAAAGGTTGGGCTGGAGCGATAGCACAGCGAGTAGGGCGTTCGCCTTACAAGCGGCCAACATGGCCGACCTGAGTTCGATTCCTCCGCCCCTCTCGGAGAGCCCGGCAAGCTACCGAGAGTATTGGATATGCCAGACACAGTAACAACAAAGTCTCCAATGGAGACGTTACTGGGCCCGCTCGAGCAAATCAACGATCAACGGGAGGGCCTTTACCTTTACCTTTACCTTCACTTACTGAAAAGTATTTTAATGTGATATATGTATAACATTGAATAAAAAATACCACTTCTAACAACTTTTAGATGATCTTAAGGTCAGATGTTTTTAAAATTTAGCCTGGTGAGTTAAGAGTGGCAAATTTTGCTTGTTCTTTACTAAAGTCAGACTATGATATAGTTCAGGATTGTCTTTTAAACAGCTATTCAGAAATGCACACTTAGAAAACTAACCCTGTGTATGTAATTGGTAACGGTGCTTTTGCCAACTCATTAGTAGAGGAGATATCATTAGCACAAATTTGTAAATTATGTGATCATAAGAATTAAGATGATTAAAACAAATCACAGATGAAAAAATATATATTGGCATCACAGATTTTGAAATGGACAGAATTACAATGATTCATTAAAAAAGCATAGTGATTTGCATAAAAAGTGTTCATGAAAATATTTATTACCTCTGAAATTTGCAGTGATTCTCTACCTAATACATCTCCAAAACCTTTTAATCCCTTTAGACATTTTTTTGGCAGTATGTATTCAATTTGCTAAAACGTACAAACATTGCACTATTTCTTTTAATTTTGTTAATCAAAGAGTTAGTATTCCTTCAATTATGATATTCTGGATTTTCATACCTCCAACAGCAAAAGGCTTTCTTGGTCTAAAAATAAATAGGAGAGCATGAAGAAACCCAGGAAAGGGGTCCCTTTATGCAGAATCAGGATCAGTGATTTGGATTTTTACATCTCACATGAGATTATCAGACAAAATGTGGCCAGACCCATCTTTTACCATGGGTCACATTCTCTTGAGAGGTTTTTAAAATTACCTAGAGGAGGGGAGGGAGAGATTGAGGGAAGGAAGAAAAAAGGAGGGTAGGAGGGACAGAGGGAAGAAGGAGAATGCCAAGAGATGTGGGGGCGGGGGAAGGGTTGTTGGTGGGAGGGAAACTGGGGATATTGGTGGTAGGAAATGTACACTGGTGGAGGGATGTGTGTTGGAACATTGTATGACTGAAATTCTGTAATGAATAGCTTTGTAACTGTGTTTCTCCGATGATTCAATTATTTTTAAGGTTTTTAGATAATTTTAGATAATATTTCAAATATTTTATTTATTTGAAAGATTGCAAAAAATTAAGTTACCTACAGCTACCTTCCATGTTTTTTATTTTCAGATAAAAATTATTAAACCAGAAAGTTTACAGAGTTCAGTGAGACAATTTATAACTGAAAATCTTGGAAATAAATATCTTCACAGAACCCAAGTGAATTGGAAAGAATGTTACAAAGAATCCAATGCCAGGACCCCATTGATACTTATTCACACCCAGGGTAAGCTATCTGTGATCAATTAAAGTAATGAAAATTCCTCCAAAGATGCAGGTTTGAAAATAGGTTCTTTGTCAGGTGAAGAAAATAGGTTCTTTGTCAGGTGAAGTAAAATTATCCCTTGTTAAAGCATTTCGCTCTCCTTATTGAAGTTGTTTAGGAAAAGAGCCTATCAAAAAAATTTGTTTACCTTTTTGAGTATTGAGATTTACAATATTGTTACTCATTCTATTTATGGATACATCTTTCCAACATCATTCACCACCAGAGAGCTCACTTCCCTTCATCAGTGTCCCAAGGACCCCTCCACCCCCACCCTTTCCCACTCCTATCATGTAAACTCAGCTCTATATACAAAATCGTCATGCTTTTTTTTATCTCATATTTGGGACATATCTCTCTCTATATTTTTTTTAATTGTGGAGGTGAATAGAGCTAAACTCCTGGAATTCCACACAGTTGTAAGTCAATGATAAAGTACAAAAAAATTCAAAACTATATTTTTTTACAGTGATGTAAGTTTTAAAATATCATGGATAATTCTGTACTAAAGGATTTTCAGATTTACATAAAATGAGGGATCCTACAAATGTAAAATTTAGAAGAGTGAAGAGTTAAGAAAAGTTTAAGGGGGAGACTCTGAGTAGGCCTATAATAATATAAAAGTGCATTTTATCCTAAGAAAGGGAATATTAGCTATATGTTAGAAAATATTATATTATAGATATTGTTTAAGTGTCTACATTAATAAGTAAAGGATTGTAATAAAAATCTCTAAGAATTCGGGGCTGGAGCGATAGCACAGCGAGTAAGGCGTTTGCCTTGCACGCAGCCAACATGGCCGACACAGGTTCTATTCCCAGCATCCTATATGGTCCTTCGAGCACCGCCAGGAGCAATTCCTGAGTGCATGAGCTAGGAGTAACCCCTGAGCATCACCGGGTGTGACCCAAAAAGAAAAAAAAACCCTCTAAGAATTAAAAAAAAACATCTTATCAGATATACAACATTCAATTTAAATGAAATGTTAGTTCATTATTGTGAATGTATAAAACCCCTTAGCAGGATAGGAATAAACAAACCTTTTGTTTTGTTTTGTTTTTATCTGGTAGATAGCAGCCATAAACTCCATGATTGACTACCATACTCAATGCCAAATGCTGGGGAGTGCCTTTTTGTCTTGTCTTTTAAAGAAGCTCCTTTAATACTTCTTGCAAGACTGGTTCCAAGGCTACAAAATCTGTAAACTGTCTTTCTTTGAAGTTCTGTATGTTCCTTCAAATCTGAATGATAATCTAGCTGGATAGACTATTCTAAGTCACATATTCAATTCATTGAGTTTTTGTATTATGTCTCTCCATTCTCTTCTGGCTCAGAATCTCATTTGATAGACCTGCTGTGAGCTTAATGGACTTTCCTATGTATATAAGTTCCTCTTCTGATTTTGCTGCTTTCTATATTCCGCCTGTCCTGTTTTTTGTCATGTTGAGTACAAAGTGACCAGTTTTCCTACCTGAATCTACTTTCTCTGGGTCTCAGTGCCTATATTCCTCAACTATGAGAAAATTTTATTTTCAATGATTTAACTATTGTTCCTTCATCAAATTTGCCTTCCTGTTCTTCAGTAACTCCAGTGATTCTTATGTTGTTCCTCTTGAACTCATCTCATACTTTTATTCATCAACTGCCCTCACACTGTTGCTCAGAGCATCTATTGTGTTTTTAATATTACCTACTAAACTCTTCATTTCTGCTTGTAGTTTCTTTTTTTTTTTTTTCATTTTAGCTCTCATACTTTCTAGTGCTTTGCTGACATCATTCGCCATCATTTCTTTGGGTTCATTAAACATCCTAATCACGTTGTCACTAAAGTCACGGAGGATTTACTGAGATGGTTGGTTCTGGTTGAGCCTTCTGTGCTATTGTTTCTGCTCACTGAACTTGGTGGGCTTCTATGCATCTTCCCCAGTGGGTTTTCCCTGCCCCGGCTTTCCTGAGGATGAATGTTTATACTTACCCGGCTGTAACTCTGAGGAACCAGGATGGGAATTGTGCTCCTCCTTTCCTACTCATCTTTACCCAGTGATAGGGAGTACAACTGTGAGCAATGTAAAATGTGATGAGGAACTGCCACATGGCCATATGCTTCAGGAGATGTGGATCTGGACCTGCTGAAATGGTGGAGGTCAGGTGTGAAGACTAAAATTAATATCACGTGGTAGGATATTGCTTCGAGCAGAGAGGTTCAGGAGCTCTGGAGCTGGACCTCTTGAAATAGTGGAGATTAGGATTGGACGTTGTCAGGAGATATTACATTTTTAAACTAAGTTTAAAATGAATCTTTCTAGAAATGTTTTTTTAAAAAAAAAAGAGGACTAAGATATTCTTGACTTACAAACCTGGGGAACTCGGTCATTGCTAAGTTTCTGTACAGAAAATACATCCTAAACATGCATTTAGGGAGTATGGTGCCACCAGCAGGTCAATCTGTACCTGTGAGGCAAGTGCATCAGCAGCCTGATGGCGCCTTCAGACTTCCAGATACCCCAAAATTGCTGCTGTGCCTTTGGCCAGACCCAAAAAAATTGGAGCAAAGTTTACCAAGAAAGTAAACGGCCAAAAGTTAGGTATGTGGGAGACACACCCACAAACCACCTCGGGCTCAGCTATATAATTGGAGGCATGGCCTCTCTGGTTCCTGATTGAACTGCTTAACGGCCATGATCCCAGAGACTCAGAAACAAATCTTGAAACCCAACAGCTTTTGGCAGAAATGTGTTCTGGACCCTGCAATAGGCTACCGGTGGTGGGCCAACCCAGGTGGGAATACATTTCGTGCCTTGGCCTGTTCCCCCTGGCGGCCTAGTGACCACCATCCTCCAGAGGCCACTGGACAGTCAGGTTTGACAAGACACGTGGGACCTCATGGGATGGGGGTGGATCCAGCCCTTTCCTCCCAACGAGACCCTGAGTCACTACCCAAGAACGGACTCTCTGGCTCCTGATCAAGCTGCTCAATGGCCATGATCCCAGAGACTCAGAAACAAATCTTGAAACACAGAAATGCGTCTGGACCCCACAGTAGGTTACTGTTCCCAAGCCACCCTAGGGGGGAAAGGGTGCTGTCCCTTCGCCTGCTCCCCCTTGGCTCGGTGGCTGCCATCCGCAAGAGGCCATTGGACAGAAAGTAACAGAGTAAAAACCATAAACTCTGGGTAAGAATTTCAAAGACGGGGCCAGAAAAAGTACGGAGGATAAGGCACTTGCCTTGTGCACAGATGACCCAAGTTCTATCTCTGGTACCCCGTATGATCCCCAGAGCACTGCCAGGAGTGATTTGTGAGTACAAAGCTACAAGTAAACTCTGAGCATGCTGGGTGTGGCCCCAAAACAAAATGAAAAGAAAAAGAAAAAAAATAATTTCAAAGACTCATTTCTTTACAATGTCTGTACCCAGTACCACCAATAAATAAATGCTAGTTATATTTTCTCATAGGTAATTGATTTTATAGTTATATGAATCTCTTTATATTGTCACACAGGTTTTGATATCTCCAAAACTCTCCAGAAATTAACAAAAGAGTTAAAGAAAGCAACACACCCAGTTACCACAATTTATCTGGGTCGTGGCCAGGCAGCTAAAGCAGAAGACATCATTGTGAAGGCCCTTAGCAGAGCAGAATGGGTCTTCCTCAAGAACTGCCATCTTGCAGCATCATTTATGCCCAGACTTTGCACTATTATAAAATCGTAAGTGTGTTTTTCATTTGTTTAAGAGGACCAAATTAAGTATCAAAACAGGGAAGAAGACTTGGGATTGGAGAGATAGTACAGTGGATTTGATGCTTGCCTTGCACACAGCTGACCTAAATTCAACTCCTGATACCACATATGGTCCCCCCCAAGCCCACCAGGAATGATCCCTGAACATAGAGCCAGGATGTAAGTTCTGAACATTGCCAAATGCAGTAGTGACAAAAAAAAAAAAAAACCAAAACACAGAAGATGACAGTGTACACAGGGTTTAAACAATGATAAAACTTTTTTCATTTCCCATAAAAAATGTTCTTTTCTTCCAAAGTGTCAAGGCTCCACAAAGAATATATACATTTTTTTTAATTAAGGGAACAGATCTCAGGCCAGAGAGATAATTAAAGGGCTGGAGGCTAATCAATCTTAATTTTAGAATTATATCCGCAGTTGTGGCATTTTTATACATTTAAAATTAATTTTAAGAAAATATAGCACAAAATAAAATGAGTCAGAAAGAGAGGGACAGACATAGAAAGATTGGATTCATCTGGGGAACATAAAGTAACAAAATGGGAGACTAACACCCAAGAATAGCCAAGATAAGTGCCAGGAGGTTTACTCCATGGCTTGGAGGCCAGCCGCACACTCTAGGGGTAAAAGCAGCTCAGATAGAGAAGGGAGCACCAAGTAAAGGGTGTTGGGAGAATCCTCCCAGGATGGGAGAAGCATGCTGAAAGTAGACTATAGACCAACATGACTGCCACTCAGTGCCTCTTTTGCGGACCACAACGCCCAAAAGGAGAGAGAACAAAAGGGAATGCCCTGCCACAGAGGCAGGGTGGGATGGGGGGATGGGAGTGGGAGGAATACTGGGATTAGTGGAGAATGGGCACTGGTGGAGGGATGGGTACTCAATCATTGTATAACTGAAACCCAAGCACAAAAATGTGTAAGTCTACAACTGTACCTCATGGTGTTTCACTAATAAAAATTTTTTAACAATTTTTAAAAATTTTTTTAAAATACTAAAAAAGATTGAGTGCAAGATAACCGTAGAGTTCCAAAAAGTTATAAAATGGGGAATAAAGAAGAAATTTCCTAGAGAAAAGAAAAAGAGAAAGGGACAGACATAGAATGACTGCACTCATTTGTGGAATATAAAATAACATAGTATGAGACTGACACCCAAGAACATTTAGACACAAGGGTCAGAAATATTGCTTCATAGTTGGAAGTCTGCCTTATAAGATGGGGGAGAAGACAACTGGAATGGAGAAGGATTCACTTAATGATAATTGGAGGGATCTTTCCGGATGGGAGATGTGTGCTGAAAGTAGATAAAGGACCAAACATGATAGCCTCTAAGTATCCACATTGCAAACCATAATGCCTAAAAGTAGAGCAAGAGTAGGGAGGGAAATGTCTGTCATAGAAGTAGGGGGGAGGATTGGGATGGGGGTGGGGATACTGGGGACATTGGTGGTAGAAATTGTGCACTGGTGGAGGGATGGGTGTTTGATCATTGTATGACTGAAACTCAAACATGAAAGCTTTGTAACTACATCTCACGGTGATTCAATAAAGAGAGAAAGAGAGAGAGGGTGGGGGGAGAGAGAGAGAGAGAACTGGTAGAAGAGCTGAGTTCAATTTCCAGTACCAGGTGATGATTCCTCACCACCCACTGACATGGCGCTGGCAGCCCCCATTACCACTAGGGTGTGTCACCAGACCAAGTAGTGTTGGGAGTAGCTCCAGGACCCCTGATCTCTGCTTGAAAGACACCCCTGCCCCCCAAAAAACTTCCTCGTTTCACTTTCTGTTAACCACTTTCTCTTTCTTTCCTCAAATTCTCACCCTCATTAGATACATACATGAACATCTATACCTAAGTCACTGTCACCGTCCTCCCGTTGTTCATCGATTTGCTCAAGTGAACCCAGTAACGTCTCCATCGTGAGACTTGTTGTTACTGTGTTTGGCATATTGAATATGTCACGGGTAGCTTGCCAGGCTTTGCCGTGCGGCCGAGATACTCTCGGTAGCTTGCCGGGCTGTCGGAGAGGGGTGGAGGAATCGAAATCCGGTCAGCCATGTTGGCCGCTTGCAAGGCAAATGCCCTACCTGCTGTGCTATCGCTCCAGCCCTAAGTATCTATCTATAAAAATAGTTTCTGATGATTCCAAACAGTAGACTATAAAACTTCATATTCCTATTTACAGTGATGATTCATTTTACAGCTTATAGTAGATACTGTTTTTGCTCACCCTACTTGTTAAAACGAGGTTTCATAAACTTTTTTCACTCATGCTTTTCACTCAATAAATGCAATTTGGCCAAGCATTGCCAGAACCACCGCAAATTACACAGTTGATTTGGAATGAATTTTTGGTTGAGAATTGAGAACTCTTTCACTGTTACCAAGTTTTTCAGAACCCCCTATGCTCAAGAATATGTAATGTTGCAGGAATACCAGAGAGTATTATGTGTACAGTATACAACAGTAGAACACTGTTGTTTTTTTGGTCATCTGATCAAGAAGCATATCATGGGGACCATGGAGAGAGCTCAGACAACTGGAGCACATGCTTTGCCTGTGGAGGCCGGAGTAAAATTCCCAGCACCACATGATCCCCAGCAGAGCCTTAAACAACCCCCAGACAGTGAGCTGGGATTAGGCCCCAAAATTCAAAACCCAAAAAGACGTATTATTTCAATCTTTTCTGTTACTGGTAATATTAGCTTTGATCATTAGATTAAAATATCTGTCACTTAGGGAACTTAGTCCTACACTAAGTTCCTCCCAGATGGGAAGTTTCTTTCTCTTCTATTTTTCAATAAACTTTTCTATTTTCTTTAAAAAAAATAATAAATCTGTCACCCACTAGTATTATCCAGTAATTTTTTAATTGCAATAGTCTCGTATTATGTGTCAAATGGTGTCTTTCTAATCACAGTTCTTCAGTTCTATTCCATTTGTCCATGGCCTTGCTTTGGTCCTAAAACCATACTATATACAAGAATAATTAATATCTATCCTATTCAAACTCTTCCAAAACTGAAAGAAAGGGGAATGCTCCCAAAATCAATAAATAAGGCGAATATGTTAAAACCAAATCAGAAAAAGACAGCACACATGTGCATGCACACACATACAAACACACACCTACTGGATTATATTTCTAATGAGTTGATGCAAAAATCTTCAGAAAAAAATTTGGCATAGTGAATCAGTAACACGTGAAGGAGAATCCTTCATCATGACCCAAGGATGCAAGAATGGTTCAACATATAAATCAATTAACATAATACAGCAGATCAGCAAGAGAAAATATAACCAAAAGATCGGATCAATAGATGCTGAGAAAAAGAAAAAAAATACAGTTGACAAGATTCAATATCCATTTATGACAAAAACATTCAACAAATTGGAGAACAGAAGAAAAACACCTCAACATAATAGAAGCCATGAATAACAAACCCACAGCTAACATCATATTCAAACATGAAAACTTAAAACCTTTCCCCCTAACATCTGGAACAAGACAAGCATGTTTTGCAAAATTCACCAGTGAAACCATATGACCTTGGGTAATTGGGAATTAATGGGTTTTGTGCAAATTTTTGCACAACATGAAAGGAAGCTCTTAGGGTACTCTAAAAAGATCTTTGATTATTAAATTTATTAATACACAATATGAGAATATTGCAGTTAAATTTATTTCTAACATCATTTCAAATATTCAAGTACTATTCTTAGAACATGTTAGTTTTGTTTGAATTTTCACATTATAGAATCATTATATATTTCAGATTTCAGAATCCAGATATGAATATAAACCCTGAATTCAGGCTGTGGTTAAGCTCAAAATCAGACAGTTCATTGCCACCTTTTATTCTTCAAAGGGGTTTAAAGGTGAGTTTAAAAAAAATACATTGTTGGGGGGCTGGAGCAATGGCACAGCGGGTAGGGCGTTTGCCTTGCATGCCGCTGACCCGGGTTCGATTCCCAGCATCCCATATGGTCCCCTGAGCACCGCCAGGGGTAATTCCTGAGTGCAGAGCCAGGAGTAACCCCTGTGCATTGCTGTTTAGGGGGTGAAGTTCAGATCCCTCAGCTCAGAGGCAGGCGTAGTCCTAAACAACAAAAGAATCAGACTCAGCAAGTGAGAAAGATAATGGCAGGGATTAAGGCGCTTGAGTTGCATGCAGCTGACCTTTGCACCGACCAGGACCGATTTCCCCAAGCAATGCGGGGTGTGACCCAAAATTACCACCCATCCCAGATGGGTTTGGGAGAGAGCGGGGGAGGAGGGGGGGCGGGAGGAGGGGGCTGAAGGAGGGGGATCAGCCTCGGTGGTCCTGGAGGTGGAACACAAGCCTCTCTTTCGAAAATGTGTTCCCTGAGCTAACGCGCCTCCAGCCAGCTCCTCTGAGTGTAGCCCTACAAGATACCAAGCACTGCTGGGGAAGCCCATATTTCAAGAAGAATTTGTTCTAACAACCGAAACTCGGCGCTCTTGCGACCTTCCTGCGGTACTTTCTCCGAGCTTCCTGAGATTTCTGGCCAAAAGCATTAAAGCGAATGGCAACGTCCACACTCGGGAGAGACCAGGTCTCACAGCAGGGCAGGCGCTCCTCCCAGTCCCTTGCTCACATTCTAAGGGTAGGAAAACTCAATGCCATTTGCTGCTACTCCTGGCATCGTGGAAACTAGATACCATCTCCTCTTATCTCAGAGAGGGTCTGTTTGCATTCCAGACACAAAATCCCTCTTTCTTGGAGAGGACAGAGGGTTCCTCTGCTGGCTAATCTGCCCGAGTTCACAATTCTGTCACCAGAGGCTCTTTCCTGTGGTCCCCGCTATGCATTCACTAGTAGCTGTGTCGGGCATCCTGCTCTTCTTCATTCTGGGGCTTCAGAACAGGGGAATATCTGATCCTAGCATCTCGAGTTCATGCACAAGTAGTCATTGCATCTCCCCACACATTCAAAATATCATTAGCTTCATAGCTCTTAATGAAATCCACACCCATGTACATAAAAGCAGGGATCTGTAAGCTATTCCGATAAGGAGCCTTTCTGAAACTCCCTAAGTTTCAGATCAAGACAGTCACCCTCAAAATAAGCCTCCCAGTTAGTTCTCTCCCCATCTCACCTCACTTATCCTAATTAAGAAATCAAACAAAGGACCAGAATTGTCAAACTGAATTCAATCCTCATCATCCCATATGGTTTCCTGAGCACCACCAGGAGTAATTCCTGAGTGCAGAGCCAAAGCATTGCCAGGTATGCCTCTCACCCCCCCCAAAAAAGAAAAAAATCAATCAAAGGGATGGGGGGGGGGGGTCGGAGGACAAGGTCCACACCTAACTGTGCTCAAAACTTACTTTGGACTCTGTGCTCAGGGAGTAATTCACTTTGAGCTCTGGCTCAGGGGACCACAAGGGGTTCTGGGGATCAAACCTGGGGGAGCAATATGCACGGCACAGACCCTACTCGCTATACTTCTCACTCCAGCCCCCAACCAAAGGGAACTTTTAAGGCAAGCAAAATAATTTAGTAACATAGCAAATTGGATTTTTTTTTCTCATTATTAACGTCAATGATAACTATTGACTCAGTAAATTCTGTTTTCTGTAATTTGGCATTTCTTGGATCTGATGCCTTGCTGTCAGCAGCCACTAAAACCTTTGGCCAGAGCTGTTTAAATGTTTTCCACTCACTCCTTTTCAGTCTGAGAAATGCAACATGAGCAAGCACTGCTAGAAATACCGGTGATTCACTCCGTGGTTAATTTGAAACTAATTTCTGATTGTTGGGCATTCAGAAACCTTTCACTGTTGCCAAATTTTTCACGATCCCCACATTCAGCTAATGGGATCCAGAATATAAGATGCTAGGGCTGAGGAATCTTAAATGCTACATTGTGCTTTCATTGTTAAACTTTCTAAAATGTCATTCTTCCAAAACTCTATGTCTAAAAAAAACTGTCACTGTCCTCCCGTTGTTCATCGATTTGCTCCAGCAGGCCCAGTAAAGTCTCTATTGTGACAATTGATACTGTGTTTGGCATATCGAATATGATTTTCTCGGTAGCTTGTTGGGCTCTCCAAGAGGGGCAGAGGAATCGAACTCAGGTCAGCCATGTTGGCCGCATGCAAGGCAAATGTCCTACCCGCTGTGCTATTGGGGCTGGAGCGATAGCACAAGCAGGTAGGGCGTTTGCCTTGCAAGTAGCCAACATGACCAACCTGAGTTCAATTCCTCATATTCAATATGCTAAACACAGTAACAATTGTCACAATGGAGACGCTACTGGGCCCACTTGAGCAAGTCGATGAACAATGGGAGGACAGTGACAGTCTAAACAAAACAATTTTTTTAATTTATTTGTGTGCTATATATATATATACACTGTAGCACCGTCCTCCTGTTGTTCATCAATTTGCTCCAGCGGGCATCAGTAACGTCTCACAACAAATCGTGAGACTTGTTGTTATTGTTTTGGGCATATCAATACATCACGGAAAGCTTGCCAGGCTTTGACATGCAGGTGAGATACTCTCGGTAGCTTGCCGGGCTCTCCAAGAGGGGCAGATGAATCGAAAAAAAAAAAAATATATATATATGTATATCTGTAAAGATATATTTCCCTCAAGGTTGGCTGTCTTCTACTTTAAACGCCATCTAATGCTACTTTTGGAGTATGAGTGGTGTGAGGTATGGAGATATCCAGGGATAGGTTTACTCATGGTAAGGGTCTCGGCCCGAGCATGTGAAGAGCGACCATGAGCCTGGAGGTGATTGAATTCTGGAGGTTTTTGGCTGCCAGGGCTGGGTCCCTTGGGGTGGGGAGGGGCCTCCCCCTCCCCCTTCTGGGGTGCCCAGAATGAAACAGTCTGGAGTGGGATCCAGGGCCTGGTGGCATGGTTATGGCAAGTTGAGAACAAACCACCTTTAGTGACTTGTCACTGGATATATGAAATGTAGCCACAGGCAAACTGGATCAATCCTTTTATAGAACTTTTCAGATGGGGAAGAATAGCACATTAGTTTTGATTTGCCATGGATTCTTAAAATTAGTTGTAAAATTGGGGAGTTTTTTTTTTTTTTCATCAGATCTCTCTAGAGAATTGGGCCTCATATTTCTCCTTATGTTTGTTTTCAAGATTACCTTGGAAAATCCCCAGGGGATGAAAAATACTTTACTGCATACATTTGGATTGGATGAGAATAAAGAGGTGACAGAAGAGATATTTAAAAAAAAAAACTGTGGACCAGGGTGGAAAAAAATTGTATTCAGCTTATGTGTGTTTAATGCTCTGGTCAGCGAAAGAAAAAAATATGGACTATTGGACTGGAATATAGCTAAACAATTCTGTTCTTCGGACTTGGAGGTAAGTGCAGGATCTTAAAAACAAACTATAGCAATAAGTAAGTAGCAATACTGTTCCAAGGGAGTGCTCCTATGTGTCTCTACAAATCCTAAGTGCTTTTTGTGGTGGTAAGAATCCTGTAATGGGGCTGTGTCAGCAGGGCTCATATTTGTAAGCTTGGATCATGGAGCCTACTTTTCTGGAATGAAATCACAGCTCTAGCTCTTCAACCTTACACAAATTTCATCTGTCCAACAAACTAATTGAAAGAAAGAAACTCTTAGTTTCTTCGACCCAAAACAGAGGTGTGAGGGCTATTGAGGGAAATGTCAGTGCCTGCTCTCAAGAGCCAGATAGGAGGCCAAATCAAGGTCTATAGCATCAGAACAGTATCTAACATAGATAAAATGCAAAAATGTGTTTGTTGTTCTTATTTGTTTAAAACAGAAGAAATTGTGACCAGGCATAGAATCAGGAATTTAACTTAACAGTCTTGTGTTGACGAGTGGTCCTCCTCCTCCTCTTCTTCCTCTTCATCTTCTTCTTTTCCTCCTCCTCCTCCTCTTCATCTCTTCCTTCTCCTCCTCCTCCTCCTTCTCCTTCTCCTCCTTCTCCTCCTTCTCCTTTTCCTTCTTCTTCTTCTTCTTCTTCTCCTCCTCCTCCTCTTCCTCCTCTTCTACTTCTTCATCTTCTCCTCATTCTCCTCCTCCTCCTCTTCCTCTTCTTCTTCTCCTCCTCCTCTTCATCTTTTCCTTCTCCTTCTTCTCCTCCTCCTCCTCCTTCTCCTTCTCTTCCTTCTCCTTCTCTTCCTTCTCCTTCTCTTTCTCCTTCTCCTCCTCCTCCTCCTTCTCCTCCTCCTCCTCCTCCTCCTCCTCCTCCTCCTCCTCCTCCTCCTCCTCCTCCTCCTCCTTCTTCTTCTTCTTCTTCTTCTTCTTCTTCTTCTTCTTCTTCTTCTTCTTCTTCTTCTTCTTCTTCTTCTTCTCCTTCTTCTCCTCCTTCTCCTCCTTCTCCTCTTCCTTCTTCTTCTTCTCCTCCTCCTCCTCTTCCTCCTCTTCCTCCTCTTCCACTTCTTCTTTATCTTCTCCTTATTCTCCTTCTCCATCTCCTCCTCCTTCTCCTCTTCCACTTCTTCATCTCCTCCTCCTCCTCCTCCATTGTTGTTGCTCAGGACTTACTCCTGGCTCTGTGCCCAGGGATCACACCTGGCCATACTCAGGGAACCACACAAGGTTTCAGAGATCAAACTGAGATCACTTTGTGCAAAATAAACTTATCCCTGTGCTATCTATCCAGCCCCAGGAGTGTTTTCTTCAGTGCTCAAATAGACAGGTGGGAACACCTGATTAAATTTGTCCCAAGTTAATTTCTTATACTTTTGTCCTCCGACACAGAACAAAACATTGTCTTGTTGATATGCTAGAGAAAATACTTAAATCCTTTTTTTTTGTGGGGGGGGGGGGGTGTAGGACAGGGGCCAGGCAGGGCACACTTGGTGGTACTCAGGACCATTCCTGGCCCTGTGATCAGGGATCAATTCTGGAGGGGTTTGGGGGAACCATTTGGGGTGTTAGGGATCAAATCCAGGTCAGCACATGGAAGGCAAGAGCCTTACCTGCCGGACTATTTCTTTGGCCCCCAGAATCACTTTGCAAAGAAAAATTTGAGTAATGTCACAGGGCATCTATCACTCAGACCCATGTTGACTAGGTCTCCTTGTGCATTTCCTATGTCTTCATTAAGTTTCATTATTTTCACAAGAGGCTGTCAGACTCACTGCAAGTTCAATTGCCTGGCAGTGTATATGCCTGGGCACTCAACCAAAACATAAAAGAAAACAGCTGTACTCTCAATGCTTGTCAAGGAATGTGAAATGTGAGCTCAAGTAGGCCTCTGTCCAGACCTTACTCAATGCTCAATAAAAGATAAATGATATATAAGTGGACCCAGGGACTTATGCCATATATAAGACAAAGAGTTTATAGACTTACATAAAGAATTTCCTGTAAGAGAAATTTTTAAAATCCTAATTAGTAAGGACATGTATCAATAATTCTCAATTAAATACACAAAAGTAAGATTATGAAAAATTGTTCCATTTCATCAGCAAATGACATGGTTACTTATGTGCCAGGCTTTGAGAAATGATAGTACAGGAGGCAGCTTGTATGTGACTGATCCCAGTTCAACTCCTAGCATGAACCCCTGAGCATCGCTAGGCCCCTGAAGGCTGCTGACACTGCCAGGGCGGGCTGGGTAATCCTCGATACCACCAGGCCTGAGCAGCACCACCTCCTCAGGCCCTTGCATTCACAGTGAGTAAAATAAACAAAAATGTGGAGAGGCAGGAGATCCGAGCATTGCTGTTGGAAATTAAACTGTTACTTTCTGAAAGGCAATTTAGTCATCTACATCAAAGGCTTTGAGAGGATTCTGAGTATTGTTGATGTTGTAGAGGAAGCCACGTTTATAAGATTGTTTAATAAAATTGGGCTATCCAAAGAGCATCAATCGCATGAGCTCATGTCTGCACAAAGAGCCACACTATGTATTTACTTCCGTATAAATTGAACTTACAGATGATCTCATCTGCGAGGGAAATGGAGAATAGGAGTGGGGCAGCCTGGGCGTATGCCAGCAGTATCTCAGTCCTCAAGGCCGGGATTCCTGGGGGGCTGCTCTCTTCTGGCATCTTGCAAAGAGACTTGCTTCAGCCACACGCAGGGGGTGACATCACAGGGCTGGTCTCCATTCCCTTCCTTTGTTCTCCCTCTCGGTGAAGCCTGTATGTAGTAGTAGACTTGCCAACAGGAGAGGTCCATAATGCCAAGGGCACAGCTGTCTGAGTTTAGGCGACTGGTGTTCCTGGGAGTTTTCTAGAAACTACAGCTGCTAACTTCAAGGCTTTGTGGGAAGTTGGATTTATGCACAGCCTTCTTCACTGAGGCCTGAGCACTATAGTTTCACTGTGGAATTACTTTTGAACACACTAAGGAATGCGGAGAGAGGGGAACTCCTTTCATTATGGGGAGGTCCCCATTGCGGGCAACTTAAATGTGTCTCCTTAGGGGACCCTCTGTCTAGCAGTTTATCAATCCATGTTTCATCAGGCTCCAGTAGATACCAGGTAAAGGGCTACCACCACTAAAAACTCCCCAAAACCTGGACCTAGGATCCAACAAAAACCTGGAAAAAATAATATCCAGTGAGATCCAGGAGGTAAAGAGAGAAAATATACAAGAAAGAGAACAGTAAATTATTAGAGCTCTGAAAAGATATAGAAACCCATTCACATGCATATTACACACATAAGATTGCTTGCTTATTTGTTTGAAAATAAGTATTGATGTCAATACTTAGGGACTGCTTAATACTTGGGGGCTGCTTCCCATCAATACTTGGGGGCTGCTTCCTCCCAGCTCAGTACTTAGAAGTTACTCCCAGCTATCCTCAGAGGACCAGGTGGTGCTGGTGATTGAATCCAGTACTCTTTTTTTGTTTGTTTGTTTTGTTTTGCTTTTTGGGTCACACCTGGCGATGCACAGGGGTTACTCCTGGCTCTGCACTCAGGAGTTACTCCTGGCAGTGCTCAGGGGACCATATGGGATGCTGGGAATCGAGCCCGGGTCAGCCGCGTGCAAGGCAAATGCCTTACCCACTGTGCTAACTCTCCAGCCCGAATCCAGGACTCTTGCACGCAAAGCATGCATTCAAGCTTTCTTGGGGGTTGGAGGGGGAGTGGTCATCACACACAGGAGTACTCAGTCATTATTCTGGCTCTGCACTTAGTAATTACTCCTGGCAGTCTCAAGGGGACCATATGGGATGCTGGGGATCTAACCTGAGTCAGCCACATGCAAGGCAAATGCCTTATCTGCTACACTATCACTCCAACCCCATTCAAGTTTTTTGAGCTATCTCCCTGTCTTTCACACATATAATTTTTAAGTGAGTATACCTCAAAGTATTTTTAATCCATCGATCTAAGAACTAGCAGGATTACTAAGCTTTTTAAACTATGAGTATTTATAGCTATTGAAAGTAATAGGAATAAAGTATGATTATTAAATTACATACAAAACTGGCAAATTCCCTAATAATAAAAGTGCATCCTTTAGATTGAGACTTTTTCAGTGTACCTGTATATATGTTTCTTGGGACAAAACTCATTTGCTTTGTTATCAGAAGGAATCATATACAGGGCTATCAATTTTCTCTAGGTTGGCATCCAGTCTTAAGTTTTAAAGTACATAATCAATAATTAACAAGGTCAAATAACCAAAGATGGTACTAGAGTTTCTGATGAACATTAAATGAGCGTGTTCCAGTAAGACATTGAAAAAGTCACACTTTTACCTCATTTCCAAATTTTGCCATTTTGGTTTTTTTCTTAACAGCTCTATTTATGTGGGCCTAGAAAGATAGTACAATGGATAGAGTACTTGTCTTGCACTCTTGCACACAAGTTCAATCTCTAACACCCCAATACCTCCAAATCTTGCCAGGAGTAATCCCTGAGCACAGAGCCAGAGATAAGCCCTGAGCACTGCTACATGTGTCGCAAAAGCAAAAAACAAAAAATAATAACAGTTCTATTTATGGTTATAAACATTTTGCAAACATTATTATCACAATCTCTTATTGTCTAGTTCTCACTCACAGAGAACCCGGCAGACCACCGAGAGTATCCTTTCCACATATATGCCTGACTGGGAACACCTGTAAATGTGATTAGAGGCTACCCCAAAAGCCTCCATCCCTCTCAGAGAATCCGGCAAGCTACCAAGAGTATCCCACCCGCAAGGCAGAGCCTGGCAAGCTATCCGTGGCATACTCGATATGCTAAAAACAGTAACATTGATTGTCCTCATTCCCCTGACCCAGAAAGAGCCCCCAGTATGCCATCGGGCTACACTATCACTTGACAGGGATGGATGGAGATGTTACTGGTGCCCGCTAGAGCAAATCGATGAACAACGAGGTGATAGTGATAGCGATTATCACAAAAAACATATCTTATATATTTGAACATGATTTATTTATACATGCATAGCAAAAGGTACTCAGTAGATCACAGGTAGTTCACAGTTTAATTACAGTACAGATCTATGTGTACTAAAAACAGTGAGATATATGAAAGAATTAATAATCACGGTGCACAGGTGTGACCCAAAAAAAGACCAATAAATAAATAAATAAATAAAAATCCCGCGGTCTCACAGTCCTCCCGTTGTTCATCGATTTGCTCGAGCGGGCCCAGTAACATCTCCATTGTGAGACTTCTTGTTACTGTGTTTGGCATATTGAATACTCTCGGTAGCTTGCCAGGCTCTCCAAGAGGGGCAGAGGAATCGAACCCAGCTCGGCCAGGCTGACTGCGTGCAAGGCAAACACCCTACCGCTGTGCTATCACTCCAGCCCAAATAAAAATCATGATCCTAAAATTTGTAGGGAAACCTAACACTCAAATGATATGAATTTCTGGGGAGAAAATTGAATAGATGGAAAAAAACAATCCAAAAGGACAGTTGTTTATTTCTCCTGAACTGATGACAGATTTGAGTTTGCCTATTAAGAATTCCAAATCAGGGGCTGGGGCGATAGCACAGCGGGTAGGACGTTTGCCTTGCACACGGCCAACCCTGGTTCAATTCCCAGCATCCCATAAGGTCCCCGAACACCTCTAGGAGTAACTCCTGATTGCAGAACCAGGAGTAACCCCTGTGCATCGCCAGGCCCAAAAAAGAAAAAAAATTCCAAATCATAAAGAGTGGGGTGTTGGAACATCATATGACTGAAACTCAATCATGAAGAATTTTGTAAATGTGAATCTCATGGTGATTCAATTTTTTAAAAATTTAAGAATACCAATTCAGATAGAATCATTGCAAATATGTACATTTGGACATCTGCTGAAAATTTTCTAAACTCTAAGCATCTAGGACAAGCTATAAAAGATCAGTATGACATTAGACTTTTTATTTATTTCACTGACTTAGAAGACAGTGGAATAGCACCTAGCAATTAGAAAAGAATAACACTGAACATAAATCTTGTTCCCAGCCAAGATTTCATTCATCCTGCCAAAAGAAGAAGGAATAGTTGTGGTTAAAGAAATTTTGGTACAGGGGCTGGAGCAATAGCACAGCAGGTAGGGCGTTTGCCTTGCACGCGGCTAACCTGGATTCGATCCCCGGCATCCCAAATGGTCCCCCAAGCACTGCCAGGAGGAATTCCTGAGTGCAGAGCCAGGAATAACCTCTGAGCATTGCTAGGTGTGACCCAAAAAAGCAAAAAAAAAAAAATTTTGGTACATCTACACAATGGAGTACTATGTAGCTGTTCGAAAAGATGAAGTCATGAAATTTACATACAAGTGGTACAACATGGAAAGTATCATGCTAAGCGAAATGAATCAGAAAGAGAGGGATAGACATAGGAAGATTGCATTCATCTGGGGGATATAAAGTAATAAAATATGAGATTAATACCCAAGAATAGCCGAGATCAGCACCAGGAGGATTACTCCATAGCTTAGAGGCCAGCCAGGCATTCTAGGGGAAAGGGCAGTTCAGATAGAGAAGGGAGCACCAAATAAAGGGTGTCTGGAGGATCCTCCCAGGATGGGAGAAGCATGCTGAAAGTAGACTATAGACTGAACATGATTGCCACTCAATGCCTCTTTTGCAAACCACAGCACCCTAAAAGAGAGAGAGAACAAAAGGGAATGCCCTGCCACAGAGGCAGGGTGGGACCGGGGGGGGGGGGGGCGGGGGGGATGGGGAATGGGAGGGATACTGGGATCCGTGGTGGTGGAAAATGGGCACTGGTGGAGGGATGGGTACTTGATCATTGTATAATTGAAACCCAAGCACAAAAATTTGTAAATCTACAACTGTACCTCATGGTGTTTCACAAAATAAAAATTTTTTTTAAAAAATTTAAAAAATAAAACATGCAAACAACAACAACAAAAAAGGAATAGTTGCTTATTTGCAAAGATGTAGATAATATCTAATGAGTGTTATCGATCTATGGAAAGCACTTACTTGAGTAAGTGCTATAACTATTTATTTATAAGTTTATCAGAATGGAGGCCTAATAAAAATGAAGAGGGGTAGAAATTGTGGTACACATTGTTAAGTCTTGCATTGTTCAATCAAAATGTATAATAAAAATGATTGATAATGAATAGTCTAAGTGCTAGAATTATTTAATACATATTAATTGGAAGGAAAAATCAACAAGCAATGCATTTACATATATATTTATATAGTTTAAATTTTCTGTAAGAGTTTTCAATTAAAAGTACTAAGAGGCTAGAGTGATAAGCACAGCGGGTAGGACGTTTGCCTTGCACGCAGCCTGACCTGGTTCAATTCCCAGCATCCCATATGGTCCCCTGAGCACCACCAGGAGTAATTCCTGAGTGCATGAACCAGGAGTAACCGCTGTGCATCGCTGGGTGTGACCCAAAAAGCAAAAAAAAAAAAAAAAGTGCTAAACTGAACTGAAGCGATAGTACAGTGTGTATGGCTGTAAGTCTTGCATGCATCAACCCAGGTTCAATCACTGGCACATATGGTTCCCCTGAACCCTAACAGAAGTGATCCCTGAGCACAGAGCCAGGAGTAAGCCCTGAGCACCACCAGGTATGGCCCAAAATATAACAGCAAAAATGCACTAAACTTTCGAGCAGGCAACAGTATCATCTCCATTGTGAGACTTGTTGTTACTGTTTTTGGCATATCGAATATGCCACAGGTAGCTTGCCAGGCTCTGCTATGTGTGCGAGATACTCTTGGTAGCTTGCCAGGCTCTCCAAGAGGGACGAAGGAATTGAACCTGGGTCAGCCGTGTGCAAGGTAAACGCCTACCCACTGTGCTATATACATATCTGGTGCTGGCAGGGTATGGCTTATGGGTGTGACCTCTAGGTCACCCGAGACTGGGGGAAGAGGCAGAGGATCTCTGGTCCTGGGTCCTTTGAGTCCAGAGTTCAAGGTTACAAAATTCCGCATTACCAGGGTTCTGTGGGAACTTCACTCATTTGTGAGGCTCGGGCCGAGCATGTAGAAAGCGGCCTAGAGCATGACGGCAGTTGGGTATTGGAGGTCTGCTGTCAGGGCTGGGTCCTTTGGGGCAGGGATGGCTCTCACCCGACCCCTCTGGGGCGCCCCGAGTGAAAACAGCCTGCCAGCACCAGATAATCTCCTCATCGGCCACTCTCCAGAACTCACAGCTGCTCCTCCCAGACAGGAGTATTAAATGAGGCCCCCATAACCATGCCACCAGACTCCACGCCAGGCTGTTTTCACTCTGGATGCCCCATCGGGGGGCAGGTGAGAGCCCTCCCCTCCCTAAGGGACTCAGCCCCGGCTGCCAACCTACACTACCCGACTGTCGTCACGCTCCAGGCCGCTTCCCACCCACTCAGGCGAGCCTCACATATGAGTGAACATATTCCTGGAACACGCAACACATCGTAAGACACTCCTTACCCATTTTCCATAATTACCACACCAGTCACGGTCACGGTCCTCCCGTTGTTCATCAATTTGCTCGAGTGGGCCCAGTAACATCTCTATCATGAGACTTGTTGCTACTGTGTTTAGGCATATCGAATACATCACGGGTAGCTTGCCAGGCTCTGCCATGCGGGCGAGATACTCTCGGTAGCTTGCTGGGCTCTCCGAGAGGGGTGGAGGAATCGAACTCGGGTCGGCCATGTTGGCCACTTGTAAGGCAAACGCCCTACCGCTGTGCTATCGCTCCAGCCCATATTTTATATATATATATATATATATATATATATATATATATATATATATCCCAGAGAGCCCGGAAAGCTACCGAGAGTATCCTGTCCACGTGGCAGAGTCTGACAGGCTAGCTGTGGCGTAATCCATATGACAAAAACGATCATGATCACCACGATCACGACCGTACTATTAATCGTCGATTGCCTTGAGCATGCCCCAGTAACGTCTCCTTCGTCCTAGTCCTGAGATTTTTTTTTAAAGTGCCATATTCAAGGCTCTTTCGGGGTTAGGAGAATGAGATCCAACATTGTTACTGGTATTTGGCATATTGGGTATGCCACTGGGAGTTTGCCAGATTCTGCCGTGTGGGCAGGTTACATTCGGTAGCCTGCCAGTTTGTCCAAAGTAGGAATGAGATAATAAGATGTCGCTTCCGGGAGCTGGGTTTTATAGTCTCTGAGTCTTGGTCGTTGATGGGATTACACGGTGGCCAGGGGGCCAGTTGGTGGGTGTGACCCCCGCCTACTGGAATTTGAAGGATCTGGGTGGAGGATGTTCAGCCCCGATCCGAGTAGGCTGGGAGATCTCAGTCCCAGGACCCGCATGCCTTTGTTCCTCTGCTGGTACCTTCATGTGTGTGGAGAGTGGTCTCAGCATAGTGGTGGCTGGTTCTGGAGGTCTTCGGCTGCCAGAGCCCTGGTCGGGGCGGGGAGGAGAACTCAACCCGTTCCCCTCCAAGGGGCCCCAGCGAGGACAGCCAGGTGCAGGGGCAGGAGACTCTGTGCTGTTCTCTTCCGGGAGCTGGGTTTTATAGTCTCTGAGTCTTGGCCGTTGATGGGATTACACGGTGCCAGGGGGACAGTTGGTGGCTGTGACCCCCGCCTACTGGAATTTGGAGGATCTGGGTGGAGGATGCTCTATTGTCTATTACTTTACTCAGACAAAAACAGTAATAATAATAATGGGTCTCATTCCCCTGACCTGAAAGAGCCTCCAATACGTTGGGTAAGATGAGTAAGGAGAAGCTGCTAAAATCTCAGGGCTGGGACGAATGGAGACTTTACTGGAGCCGGTTCGAGTAAATCGAAGAAAAAGAATTGCTGGGTCATATAGAAGCTCACTCTTGAATTCTTTCTTTGAGAGTTACTGGTTTTTAGTTTAACAGATCAAAGAAGGAAACATGTACTGAAATAATAAAAACTGCTATATTTCCTACTTCCTTCCTAAAGGCATCTATAAATCTGATAGGCAGTATCCTAAACGCACAGTCAGAGGTCCCCTGGCAGACACTGCAAAGTGTGATTGGGGAAGTCATTTATGGTGGCTGGACCACGGACATCTGGGACCAGCGATGTTTAAACACTCTGCTCTACAAATACTGTAATCCTGATGTGCTGACAAAGGACTTCCAATTCTCCGCTGATAAGGTAGGAAAGGAATTTGTTTTCTTATGTATTCTATTAAAGGTAAAGGCCCTCCCGTTAATCGTTGATTTGCTCGAGCGGGCCCAGTAACGTCTCCATTGGAGACTTTGTTGTTACTGTGTTTGGCATATCGAATACTCTCGGTAGCTTGCCGGGCTCTCCTAGAGGGGCGGAGGAATCGAACTCGGGTCGGCCATGTTGGCCGCTTGTAAGGCGAACGCCCTACCGCTGTGCTATTGCAGTCACTGTCACTGTCCACTGTCACAATCCTCCCATTGTTCATTAATTTGCTCGAGTGGGCCCAGTAACGTCTCCATCATGAGACTTGTTGTTACTGTGTTTAGCATATTGAATGCATCATGGGTAGCTTGCCAGGCTTTGCCGTGTGAGTGAGATACTCTCAGTAGCTTGCTGGGCTTTCTAGAGGGGCAGAGGAATTGAACCTGGCTTGGCCGGCCAGTTGCGCGCAAGGCAAACACCCTACCGCTGTGCTATCGCTCTAGCCCATGTTTAAGTAAATACTATTAAATTATTTAAAATCTATAAATTAGCTTTCATATTCACATGCAGTGCCTTTCATTAACTCTCAGTATTACAAAAGTCAATTTCCATCTAACAGAGATCAATTAGATATAATAATGTATAATGCAGAGAGCTGGAGCGATAGCACAGCAGGTAGGGCATTTGCCTTGCATGAGGCCGACCCAGATTCTATTCCCAGCATCCCATATGGTCCCCCCGAGTTCAATCAGGAGTAATTTCTGAGTGCATGGGCCAGGAGTAACCCCTGCATTGCCGGGTGTGACCTAAAAAGGAAAAATAAAGGGGTGTATAATGCAGCACCATAAATTTTAAAAAAAGATGAGAAATGGTTAATCAGGAGTAAAGTTATTGAGAGTAGAGGAAGGGAAAAGGAGGCAGGAGGGAAGCGTTCAATGGCCAAGAGATATTGGCACTTTGGTGGTGGGTGTGGTGTGGTAATATTGTACCCCTAAAACATTTGCACTTTGGTAAATCAATATGGCCTGTGCAAAAAAATAATCTCTCCCATATATGACCCACTTCTTGCTTTGCTAGAACTGGTCTACATCTGAGCACCCTCACAAAAAGGAACTCCTATCTATAGCTAAATCTGTTTTTAAATCTTTATAGCTATTTTCTTGGGGGGACGGGGCGAGGAATGAAAGGGGAGGTGTGGTCTGGGCCAGCAATGCTCAGGGATTACTCCTGGCTCTGAGCTCTGGGATCATTTCTGGCAGGCTTGGGGGACCATATAGGATCAAACCCAGGTTTGCTGTGTCCAGGACAAGTGCACTCTACACCACTATCTCAAGCCCCTTCCCTTATGTTTTATTGTCTCTGTCCCTTATCATTCAAGCTGTCACAATTTTTTAAAATTCATTGACTTAGGGGGCCGGAGTACTGTGTGTGGTGCGCTTGCTGATGTGTCCTCTAGTGGGTAGAGCAATGCTTATGTTTCCTCCAGTCCAACTCTTTCCCCTTTCCTCACTGCTTGGTAATCTCAGTTTTGCAATCAAAGGCCAAGAGTTTGTCATCATTCAATACTGTCTGGTACCCTTGTTTTGTCTCTCTGCATACCACTGATGAGTGAGATCATCCGGTATTTGTCCTTCTTCCTCTGGTTTATTTCATTTAACATGATATCCACACGTTAAGTGTGTGTGTGTGTGTGTGTGTGTGTGTGTGTATGGGGGTGGGGGGAGGATAAGTGCCAAGAAGTAGAATCACTTGGGTCATATGAAAGTTCTATTTCTTTTCTTTTTTCTCTCCACAGTCTTTCTTTGTTGAGTTTTGAGGGGGGAGGAAACTTTGTTTTCTTCTGTTTTGTTTTTTGGATTATATCCAGTGGTACTCAGGAATCACCCCTGGCAGTGTTCAGGGAGCCAAATATTGGTGCCAGGTCAGCCGCATGCAAGACAAGCACACTGCACCCTACCCCTGGCCCCATTTTTTGTTTTTGTTTTGGGGCTACATACAGTGGCATTTAGGGACCAAACGGTGCCAAGGATCAAACCAAACCCTCCTACATGTGAAACAGGTACACCAGCTTGTTGAACTCTCTCTCTCTCTCTCTCTGAGGTCTCACAATTCATTTTTAAATGTACATGTATATTTTAAATCAGTTTATATTCTAGACTCCAGCTGTTTCTAGAAACCACATCAAAACAAATTAAGAACAGGGCTTAGCTGTAGAATTGTGGCTCATGACATTGCAGTGAAGAAACCAGTGACTACACTCTTAACATGAGGCTTAACCATGGCAAAGAAACCCACTTCCTTGCTCACTAAGGGAGCTGGGAACCAGGAGCACCGTGCTTCAACGTTGGGACTAGAGGGCTGCTGGAGTAACTTCAAAATCTGGCAACTGGCACCCTATAGTAAATAAACCAAGAGAAAAGAAGTTGCAGTGTGTATGCTACCAGGCCTCAAGAGTCACACACCATCCCTTTCATTTGATCTGCTTCCTGAGAAGCAAGTCATCCACCCCTTTTGAAGAGATGAATGCCAGAGAATATGTGGACATACTTTGAATCAACACAGTCACATTATAATCACATTATAATCATTATAATCACTAATAAATTTTTAAAAGTTGTAACCCTGGGGCAGAGACAGTGGAAAAACTACTGTCCTTAGTGGAGAATGTATCCCTCAGTACTTAAAGCTAATGAACAGGAAGAATCAATTGATACATAGGAAGCAAGAGCTCTTTCCTTCCCTTTTATATTACATCATGTTTTATGTATTTTATAATAAAATCTTGGGAAGAGCCTCCTAAGCAAGTTTTATGGGCCCAGAGGTCACCCCCAGGGATACTCAATTAACTGGATATAATGGTTCAATTCTCACGCCCAACAATGTGATGCTACTTGGGTCCAGCAGTGCTGGAAGCCAACAAGGGCCATATCCAGTGGTGTTCATGTAGTCTTGTGGTCCCTAAAACCAAACACAGGACATCATATATGCAAGGCATATACTCCAAGCTTTTGAGCTATCTCCCCAACCCCATGGAAGTCTCTAGTTTATGACAATTTTCACCCACTTTGTCTAATTCCCAAGAGGTCACTTATTCATAAGACCATTTTCACATTCCTCATATTTTTTTTTACTTTTTGGGTTACACCCGGCAATGCACAGGGGTTACTCCTGGCTCTGCACTCAGGAATTACTCCTGGTGGTGCTGGGGGGACCATATGGGATGCCATATGGGATCGAACCCGGGTTGGCCACGTGCAAGGCAAATGCCCTACTCACTGTACTATTGCTCCAGCTCCTCCTCCTATAATTTTTGCCAAAGAAAAACTATTTTTCAAAGACTGATTTCTGTGGTCAGAGTCAGAGTATGGGGTAGGATATTTGCCTCATTTGCCTTGCATGTGATCAACCCAGGTTCAATCCCTGGCATCTCATATGGTCCTCCAAGCACTCCAGGAGTAAGCTCTGACTTCAGAGCCCGGAGTAACCCTTGAGCATCAACGGGGTGACCCCAAAGCCAAAAGGTAGTTCACTAAGGCAAGATGAAGTAAGACCCATCTCTGCCTATATTTGTCCTTTCTTTCCTTTCTCCTGACAAAAAAAAAATTCAAAGTGTATATTAAGCATCTGTGAGCCTTACAATAGTTCCAAACCTAGCTTTTAACAAGATTTTCTAGAACAGGCCACTTACAAATAACAGCCTTAAGAATAAAAATTTCATGGGCACATAGTGTGCACTCTACTTGATGTACTGCTCAAGTAAATGTTTCACTAGAAAAAACTAACAAACTGTTTAAATTTTCTGATATTTCAGCCTCAGCTGGGAACACCTGAAACGATGAAGGACTACATAACAATTATCAAAGCCTTGCCTGACGACGACACTCCTGAACTTTTAGAAATGCACCCTGAGATCACAAGGGAATTCAGAGAGACCACAGCCCAAAAGTTCATTGAGGACCTCATTGCTCTGCAGCCAAAACCTAGCACAGCTGACCTCCTGATCGGGTAAGAATTCAAGGAGAATTAGAAGTTGAAGCTTGTTAAATATTCATTTGAAGAGGTAGAGAACAAGAGTAATGAAAGGATGCAGACTAAAATATGGTATAAAGTACAATCCAAATATCCCATATAGGGGCCAGTATAGCGGGTAAGGTGTTTGCCTTGCATGTAGCCAACTTGGGTTCAATCCCCGGCATCTCATATGGTGTCCCAAGCACTGCTAGGAGTAATTTTCTAGTTCATAGCCAGGAGGAATCCCTGAGCATCGCTGAGTGTGACCCAAAAAAGCAAAAAAAAAAAAAAAAAAGCAAACAAATATCCCATCTAAAAACATAAAATCTGAATTCTCCAAATAACACAAGTGCAGGACCAGAGAGATCATAGAGAGCTAACAGTGCTTGCTTACCGTCACCCAAGCACCACCAAGAATAACCTCTGAGCACTTCCAGGTGTGGCTCAAAGCAAAAACAAAACAAATCAAACACACACACACACACACACACACACACACACACATGCATGCACGCACGCACACATGCACTCGCACATGCACAAGCACACAAAAATATCCCCAAGTACACAGTAGGCTTCAGTCTTTGAATGGTCATTGAATTTTATCTGGTGAATGGTATTTTTGTTTGTTTGTTTATTTGTTTGTTTTTATTGAATCACAGTGAGAACAGTCACAAAGCCTTTCAGTTCAAGTCTCGGTCAGTCATACAATGATCAAACACCCGTCCCTTCACCAGTGCACATTTTCCACCACCAAGAACCCCAGTATACCCCTCTCCCACCCACCCCCACCTGTGTGGCAGATTTCTGCTTTACACTCTCTCTCTCTCCCTCTCTCTCTCTCTCTCTCTCTCCCTCTCCTTCTCCATTGATCATATTCAATATTAAGACAAAAGACCTAACATTGTTATTTGGAGTTTTCACCAACAAACATTCAGACCTGCCACAAAGACATCATTAGAAAATTTGTTTTCTATTGCTGATTATGAAGAGCATATGATGTCATGTGGCCACAATAGCGACCATGTGAATTTGAATTTCTGATATTTTAGTAATAAACCTAGAGGGATTACTGTCAGAAGCCCCTGGGTTCCGAGATTGGTATGTGTGCCTCTGGGTTCATGGTCGGTCAGAAGCCCGAGGAGGCATTTGAGGGTGGCAATCTGGAGCATTGTCATGGTGGGGAGCAGGGCCAATTCCACCCCCCCCATCCCACGAAGCCCCACGTGCCTCGTCAATGCAGCCTCATACCTGGCTGTTCATTAGACTCTAAAATATGCAGGCCACCATGGTGCCGCCACAAAAGGGGACAGATGGAGGGACAGCCATCCTTCCCCTCCCAGGGTGGCATAGCACCACAGTTAAATACACAGTCCAGATGCATTTTGGTTGGGCATTATATTTTACTCAGATTTTACCACCACCAGTGAATGGTATTTTTAAACTAAATTAGCTTAAATGTGAAATGTCATTTACTCCTAGAGCACTGGAACAAAGAAGTGTTCTATAAGTAGAGATCAATGTGGGGGGTGGGGGAGGGACCAAAGATGTGACTTAATGATAGCATGCATGTCTTGAATGTGGATAAGCTGGATTTGATTCCTGCCCCCAAAAGGGTGGCTGTGGGGTAGGGGGTGAGGGTTAAAGGAAATAGAAGCCCTAATATTTGGAAGCCTATGCCATTCCAACATTTTATATTTGTTTCCTGGATCACAATGTCTCAATATCTTTATCCACTTTTCCATAAACAAGGATCTATGTCTACCCATCCAGGCTATCATGAGAATGATAATAGGATAGTTTGGAAAATCCAAATCTTCAGGCTGCCTTCAACCTGTGACTATAAAACACTACCTTGCTTACTACAACCAGGAATACAAGGCTTAAACCCTCAACAGCTTGATTTCCAAAGGGATTGTTTCACTTTTTGCTCCCAAAATGTGCTCCCATGATCTCGAAGGGGAATCTTGACATCTGCTCAGGAAATAGGCCACCTCTCCAGGCACACTCCTCCTTCCTTCTTCCTCATGTCTGTGTTCCCAGTCCAGCTCCACCACGTGACTCTGTGAACTTCTCTCTCCACTTCTGGCACTTCAGATTCACTTGCGGGGTTGGCCCCCATCAGCAACTCTCAGCCTACTGGTTCAATGAGTTCAATGAGATGATGCCCGGTACCTGCTATGTCAGGAAAACTCAGGCAACTGGCAGTGCTGGGGACCTCCAGGGTGGTCCAGGAATTGAACTTGGATCTGTCACATCCAGGCGTGCACCCTCACCACAGTAACCCTGTCATGTCTTGGCCTGTCATGATCAATTTTACATCCTCTGCTGTCGCAAATCTTTTCCTATTAAAGCATTTCAAGATTTTAGATTTCCATCTTTCCACTCACTAAACATGACCTTGAATGAATTCCACCGAGAAATCCAACTTTACAATCAGAAACTGTCTTGTGAGGGGTCAGAGCAATAGTACATCGGGTAGGGTGCTTGTCTTACACATGGTCAACCCAGGTTCAATCCTCGGAACCTTAGATAGTTCCCCGTGCCTGCCAGCAGTGATTCCTGAGGGTAGAGCCAGGAGAAATCCCTGAGCACTTCTGGGTGTGGCCCAAAAATTAAAAAAGGAATTAAATCCAATGAGAAAGCTGAGAAATTAAAAAGCAGAGAATTCTGTTTGTTCTGATTTGTAAACTGACTCAGCAGTTTTGCTTAGCTACCAAGCGTACTCCAAGGCTTCCAGATCACCCAGGCTTTGAAGGAGCACAGTCATTGGACTGAGTAATTCCCCCTAAAGAAGCAGAAAGAAGGAGCTCAGAAGAGGTGTGTCCCCAATAGCCAGAATCTAGAAACAACCTAAATGCCTGAGAACAGACGACTGGTTAAAGAAACTCTGGTACACCTACACAATGAAATACTATGCAGTTATTAGGAAAGATGAAATCATAAAATTTGCTTAAAGGGAATGATCCTGGAGAGTATAATGCTAAGTGAAGTGAGTCAGAAAAAGAGGGACAGACATAGAATGATTGCACTCATTTGTGGAATATAAAGTATCATAATATGAGACTAATACCCAACAATAGTAGAGACAGGGCCAAACAGATTGCTCCACAGTTGGAAGCCTCATGAGCTAGGAAGAAGGCAACTGGAATAAAGAAGGGATGACTAAGTCAATGATGGTTGGAGGGATTGTCTAGGATGGGAGATGTGTGCTGAAAGCAGATAAAGGACCAGACATTATGACCTCTAAGTATTTGTATTGAAAACCAGAATGCCCATAAGTAGAGGGAAAGAAGGAAACTGTCTTTCATAGAGGCAGGGGGCCTGTTGGATAGGGAGGGAGGAGGATACTGGGGACATTGGTGGTGGAAAATGTGCACTGGTGGAGAGATGGGTGTTTGATCATTGTATGACTGAAATTCAAATATGAAAGCATTGTAAGTGTAGTTCACAGTGATTAAAAAAAATAGGTGTGTCCCTTCCCTTTCTCCCCCCATTAACTGTCAACCACTAACCTGAGCTCTGGTTTCTGCGTCTCTTGGAAGATTCCAAACAACTGTTTCCGCCTGAGTGTTTTATGGCTGTGCTCCATATCACAACCTTACTCACACCTGCACCCACACTGTCTTCACCCCTGAGTGGTTACCAGAAACCCTGGTATGAAAACAGACAAACTCAACAGGCTGTCGGCTCCTTAGGCCACCTCTCTTGGCCTGCTGGTCTCCCCTTCTTTGTTGCAGGCTTGGGACTTCTTTCATGCACATGTTTATCTAAAGGCTGGAGCGATAGCACAGCTGGTAGGGCGTTCGCCTTACACACGGCCAACATGGCCGACCCGAGTTCGATTCCTCCGCCCCTCTCGGAGAGCCCGGCAAGCTACCGAGAGTATTCGATATGCCAGACACAGTAACAACAAAGTCTCCAATGGAGACGTTACTGTGCCTGCTCGAGCAAATCTAAAGAATATTTTATTCTTTTTTTTAATATAAGAATATTTTACCAAAATAATCCGAGGAAAACTTCAACTCCTTGCAAACATGTCAGGTACACTAGGCTCCCAGAGCAATAGTACAGTGGGGAAGGCACTTGCCTCGCACACAGTCGACCATAAGCTCCCCACATGGTCCCTTGAGCCTTCCAGGAGTGACCCCTGAGCAAAGAGTAAGGTGTAAGGCCTGAGCACTGCTGAGTGTGGACCAAAAAACAAACAAATGGAAAACAATCAGACAGTGGTAACATGAGACTCACTCCATGGTCTCACGTTCCCCTGTCTTGTGGCTTTGTGGCTCTGTGACACTGTTTCCCTGGAGAGAAGGCCGTTTCTGGTTTGCCCTGCTCTGTAGCATGTTGTTTTCTCTATTACTTCTGCAGCCGTAAGAAGAGTGACAATGAACAAGTGATGGCGATTATAATGGACTTGCTGAAGCGTCTGCCCTTATCTGTAGAGAAAGAAGACTGTGCTGGAACTCAGAGCACCCTGAAGTGCATCCTGTCCAGCCCCATGTGGGAGTCTCTGAATAAAACTTTGAAAGGTGAGACTAGCATAAGATGCACCCCTCAGTCTCCTCAGGAAAGGATTCTGGCATCAGAAGGAAGAGAGACAAAAAGTACCCCAGGAGTAGAAAGATTGCGATGAGGGGCCAGAGATATAGCTCAATGGACTGAGAGCATGCTTGGCATGTGGGATGCCTGAATTCAATCTCCAGTACCTCATGGTCCCTGAGCACCCACAGGAATGACCCCTGAGCAAAGCCAGAAGTAGGCCCCAAGCACTGGCAGGTGTGGTCCCAAAACAAAGACTAAGATGAGATGGGAGGCTGTATCTCTGCTACCTGCTTCTCTCCCTTCTTGGGAGATAGAGAGAAGAAAATGATGCTGCATGGGCCTGGAAAAATAGTACAGTCAGTGGGGTGATTGCTTTGCAGATAGCTGATCTGGACTTGATCCCCGCAGGACCCCAGATGATCCCTCGAGCATCACCAGGAGTGATCCCTGAGTGCAGAGCCAGGAGTACACATTCAGTACCTCTGAGTGTGGCCAAAAAACAAACCAAATAAAAATTTATTAATTAATTTAAAAATAAGAGGAAAGGGCCTGAGCAGGCACTTGCCTTGCACATGGCTGACCCGGGTTTGATCCCTGCTATCCCATATGGTCCCTTAAACCCCACCAGGATAATTCCTATCCTGAGCATCACCAGGTGTGGCCAACAAATTAAAAAATAGATATATAGATAAAAAGGGAGGATGGAGAGGCCCAAGGGAGACAGCACCAGTTTAATTGTACCCAAGTTAGCTCCCCAGCTCTAAGGATCTCAAATATTGTATTGCAATAACTTACTCAGGTAAATTTCAACATCCATTTTTTAGTTCTTTAAAAATGGGTCATGGGGTTGGGGGTCAGAGAGATATTACAACAGGTAAGGTGCTTGCCTTGCATATGACTGACCCATGTTCAATTCCCAGGTCCCCATATTGTCCCCCAAGCCTGCCAGGAGTCATCCCTGAGTGCAGAGTCAGGAGTAAGTCCTGAGCACAGTCAAGTCTGGTTCAAAATGTAGAGGGGAAAGAAAAGATCATTTGAGGGGGCAGAGGGTTAGTACAGTGGGTAAGACACTTACCTTGCATGCAGCTGATTTGGATTCCAGTTGTGACACAAAACACACAAAAGGTTTATTTGACACTAAATATTAAGCAGTAGTCTATCCAAAGGGCTGGAGCGATAGCACAGCGGGTAGGGCGTTTGCCTTGCACACAGTCAACATGGCCGACCTGAGTTTGATTCCTCCGCCCCTCTCGGAGAGCCCGGCAAGCTACGGAGAGTATCTCGCCCGAACGGCAAAGCCTGGCAAGCTACCTGTGACGTATTCGACATGCCAAAAACAGTAACAACAAGTCTCACAATTTGTTGTGAGATGTTACTGGTGCCCACTCAAGCAAATCGATGAACAACTGGAAGACAGTGCTACAGTGCTACAGTCTATCCAAATAATACTGTTGTTTAGGTCAATGATTACTGAACTAGGGTTAATGGGTTAAATCCAATACTAGCATTTGCTTTGCACAGCCTATAAGCCAAGATATTTTATACTTTGTGTGTGTGTGTGTGTGAGTGTGTGTGTGTGAGTGTGTGTGGATGTTTGTATGTGTGTTTGTAGTTACCAAAGACTGAGGGTGATGTGGGGAGTTCTTATGGATTTTGTTGCTATTTTATGTTTTGCTAAGGCTGGAACCCAGGGCCTGAAACATGCTAGCCATGTGCTCTACCATTGAGCTATATCCTTTCTTCCCATTTTTTATTTTTTAATCATTTGAAAAATCAAGAGAAGAATAATGTGTGATATGTAAATGTTGTGTGAAATTCAAACTTGAGATCCCTTATTGAAATGCGGCCATGTCTGTTTGTCTGCATAGTCGCACGACGTATTCATCTCCAAGGGGAAAATCTGGGTGTTTTCCAGGAAACCCTAGAAGCCCTAAAAAGACTCATTGGTCTTCACAGAAAATCTTCCCTGTCCCTGGTCTACACACATTAAATTCCTCTAACTTGTGTCCAGAGAAAGTCCTTTTACCCTATATGTGTTGTAACTTTAACTTTTTTTTTTCTCAATCCAGGTTATGATCCCCTTATACATTCGGTCTTGTTAACTTTTCTGTGCCAAGAAATTGAACGATTTGATAAGTTATTAATTATTGTACATAATTCTTTGAATGATCTTCAACTTTCTCTAAAAGGAATGTACTTTTTTACTGATGAGTTGGATGAGTTATATCACTCCTTTCTTAATATGAAAGTGCCAGCATTGTGGCAGGTAACTAACAATGACTTTCTATTTACTTACTTGATAAAAAAAAATTAATGTCTGAGGGTCAGAGAGGTAGTAAAGTGGGTAGGGGGCTTACCTTGCACGCAGCTGACTCAGTTCAATCCCAGAACCCCACATGTTCCCCAGGCCCCTTGGGAATGATCCCTGAGTACAGAACAAGGAGTAAACCCTGAGCACCCTCCAAGTGTGGATCAAAAATAAATAATAAGGGCCGGAGCAATAGCACAGCGGGTAGGGCGTTTGCCTTGCACACGGCCAATCCAGGTTCGATTCCCAGCATCCCATATGGTCCCCTGAGCACTGCCAGGGCTGATTCCTGAGTGCAGAGCCAGGAGTAACCCCTGTGTGTCGCCAGGTGTGACCCAAAAATAAATAAATAAATAAATAAATAAATAATAAATGTCTCAATTCCAGAAGAGAAACAAATTAACTACGGTACTACTACATGATGAAATATTATTACTGTTAAAACGTAATGACTGATTTGCTGTGAATGTAGAGAAAAATTGTCAATTTGACTTAAATAATTGCATCTAAGAGATGTTATCAGAAGTTTATAATACCATAAAATTAAAAACAACTCAACTATTTATTATTAGGAATCTGGTTAGCTAAATTATGTTGCATCCAAAGCACGCTGATTCAAGCTGATATGAAAATACCTCTGAAATGTATTGCTAATAGCTGGAAATGATCCTTTTGGACAGGAAATGGGTGCTGAAAGTAGGTAAAGGAATATAGTTTATAACCTTTCAGTATCTGTATTACAAACCATAAGGTCCCGAGAGAGAGAGAGAGAGAGAGAGAGAGAGAGAGAGAGAAGAAAGAAAAGAAAAAAAGTGCCTTGTAATAGGGGTCAAAGATATAGTATAGCAGGTAAGGCATTTGCTTTGTATGCAGCTGATCATAAGCGCAGAGGTAGGAATAAGCCCTGAGCACAGTCAGGGCTTGTCCCCCAAAAAGAAATAAAGAACTTTAATTCACTAAATGCACTAAAGAGCTGATAAGAAAATAAGAAATTAACAGGCAAAATCTAAAGCAAGAGGCCAGAGAGATAGTATAGCCAGTAGGGAAGTCGCCTTCAACACAGCCAACCAGGGCTCAATCCCTGCCACCCCATATGGTTCCCAGAGAAACACCAGGAGTGATCCCTAAACACAGAGCTAGGAGTAAGACCTGAGCATCACTGGGTGTGACCCTCCCCCAAAAAAATTACAGTAAGAGAACACAAATGCCTCTGTAGCTCAATATTAGAAAAAGAATGTTTCAGTGAAAGCATACCAAGAATTTAGCCCTGAGAGTATTTGTTACAAATGCTATACAAACAGCTAGCTGATTTAGCGGTCTGTAGGGAAGAAGGGACAAACATCAGTTCCAGGGCTCAACCAAGGTGAAATGTCTGATGTCAGATCAGCACCTCAAAGAATTCTACTCTCATACAGAAAAGCAGCCAGAAAAAAAGTCTGATCACCTCTGCAACTCCCAGGGCTCTGCAGCAAAGAACAAGAGGGAAGGGTTGGAGAAGATTGTTCAGTAGGTAGAGCACTTGCCTTGTACATGGCCACCCTGGATTTGATTCCTGGAAACCCATATGGTCCCCTGAATACTACCAGGAGTGATTCCTGAGTGCAGAAGCAGAGTAACCCCTGAGCATCACAGGGTGTGATCAGAAAAAAAGGGGGGGAAGGGTCAGGGTGGAGAACATGAGGAAAAGAAAGAAAATCTTTCCCTGAGCCTTGGTAAATGGCAGCTTCCCACTTTAAACAACCAGTGTTGGACAGGAGAGACAGTACAGCAGGTAAGCACATGGCCAACCCAGTTGGACCCCCCAGCATCACATGTGGTCCTCTGATGGCAGGTGTGATCTCTGAACACAGAGTCAGAAGGAAACTGAGCACTGCCCCTTGCAGCTTCCAAAAGAAACATAAAAGTAAAGGACTGATGGCCCAAATTAATGTAGGGTACACATGGAAAAGTAATCTCAAAGCCTTTCTGAAAGGATCACTTGATCACTTGATCACTTGACTTCCCGTTAATCATCGATTTGCTCGAGTGGGCACCAGTAACGTCTCCATTCGTCCCTGTCACATGCTAGTGTAGCTCAATGGCGTCTGTTCGTTCTAGGAACACAAAGAGCTTCAAACTGATCGTTCAGGGTCTTGACGAATAAGTCTGACCATCTTGTAGGTGGGTGGCCACGCCGTCTTTTGACGTCCCACGGAATCCAGTCGGTAATGACTCTAGTCCAGCAGTCGTCTCCAAATCTCATTACGTGTCCAGCCCATCTGATTTTCGACGCCTTGGCAAATGAGATAGTGTTCCCTGATTCTTGACCTTCGACAGAGATCGGAACTCCGGATTCTTTCTCTCATTTGAGTGAAACGTGATACTCCAAGCATAGCTCTTTCAATTCCTCTTTGGGAGACCCAAATAGCGTTCTCATCCTGTTTTCGTAGGGCCCAGGGCACTGAGGTGTATGTTAATGCAGGAAGAACTGTGGAATTGAAGAGATGTGCCCAGACCCAGAGGTTCTTCATCCACTTAGCTATTTCTTTGATGCTCTTAAAGGCATTCTAAGCCTCTCTCTTCCTGCACAACTCAAGTGCCAGGTCATTCGTCATGTTGACTTCTCAACCTACATACACATAACTTTTGCATGTGGAGATGGTCATTCCATTGAGAGCGAATGGAATGTCAGGAATGAGACTGTTTCTCATAAACATTGTCTTCGTGAGATTCAGCTGGATCCCAACCTTTCCACATTCACAGTCGAAGTCGGCCAGCATTTGTGCCATTTGGCTAATGTTTGGTGTTATTAGAACAATGTCATCAGCAAAGCGGAGGTGGCGTAGTTGCCGACCATCTATCTTCACTCCCATTCCTTCCCATTCCAGTCGTCGCATGACGTTCTCGAGGGTGGCACTGAAGAGTTTTGGTGAAATGGTATCACCCTGCCGAACCAACCCCTCTCTTGACATTGATGATCACTTTGTAGAATGGTGGGATCCTGGTAGTCAATCCGTAATACAGCTCACAGAGGATCCTGATGTATTGAGTTTGGATGCCCTGATTGACTAGGACTTTAATCACCGCTTCCATCTCAATAGAGCCAAAGGCCTTCTTTAAATCAATGAACATTAGACAGAGCGGCATCTTGAACTCCCGAGAAACCTCAATGAGCTTGGTTATCATGTGGATATGGTCAATCGTGCTGAATCCTTTTCGAAAACCAGCTTGCTCGCATGGTTGTCCTTCATCTAGTGTTCTGCCAATCCTGTTCAGGATGACTCGAGTGAACAGCTTGTAGATGACAGACAATAGGCAGATCAGGCGATAGTTGCCAATGTCGTGGATGTTTCCCTTTTTGCAGAGTAGTACAGTCCTGCTGGTTTTCCACTGGGATGAAACCTTGCATTCAGACAGGTAGCGTGTGAAGAGCCGAGCCAGTGTATTAATGAGTACTGATGGCAGGTTCTTCGGGTGTTCAGGTCTGATCTTGTCTGGGCCAGGTTCTGTTCGTTTCTTTACCGATGAAATGGCGTGTCAGATTTAGGAAGGGAGAACGTTGGGAACGATATATCCATCCTGAGAAATTTGGTATGTGGGCAGGTGGATGTGGCTATCAAAGAGATCTGAGTGCAAGTCATGGACAATCTTCTCCATTGCCCTTCTGGAAGATGTGATAGATCCATCAGGACCTCTGGAAGAAGGAAGAAGTAATATTCCTTATAAGCCTCAGGGAATTCCTCAGTCTTTTGCAAGGGGAATGAACAGTCAGTCTAAATAGCCAAATGGACTGAAAAAGAAGATATTATAGGCAAGAACCACAACAAATAAACAGTGCAAACTGACCCAAATACTTAAGGTAATAGAGTTATCAAACATGAAAACAAAAGACTTTCTATGGATCCTGGAATAAACAGACTTAAACAAGCTATATAGCTCAAAGAACAAGAAACTATTCACAAAGACAGCAGGCTTGACAGGAGATTGAACCCTGTTGGAAGCAGATTTCTCCATACAATAAATTGGTAAGAATGTATCCAGGAGGGCAAAGAAATCCTTCAGGAGGGAAGGGACTTGCCTTGCATGCTGGTTAACAACCCTCTTCCTTGCCCAGTTCTATCCCCAGCACTGCCTATGGTGCCTCAAACATTGTCAGGGACCACAGCTGAATACAAAACCAGGAATAGCCCCTGAGCACTGCCAAATGTGGCCCAAATACATTAACCCACTCCTCAAAAAAAATTATTCAGAATGCAGAAAAAGGGACCAATGGACCAAACATAATAACCTCTCAGTATCTGCATTGCAAATCATAATGCCCAAATACTTTTTGAGAGAGTATGGGGAATATTGTCTGCCGTGAAGGCATGGAGAAGGTGAGAAGGGAGAGGGTATAGCGGGTATATTGGTGGTGGGGAATATGCACTGGTGGAGGGATGGGTATTTGATCATTGTGTGACTGTAACCCAAACATGAAAGCTTGTAACTATCTCATGGTGATTTAATAAAATTAAAAGAAGAAAGAAAGAAAGAAAGAAAGAAAGAAAGAAAGAAAGAAAGAAAGAAAGAAAGAAAGAAAGAGAAAGACTAAAGAATGAAAACAATGGCCCACACAGTACCACATGTTCAGACCTAAGAGTTGAATCATCCAAGCCTCTTAGCCAGCCAATTATCAGGCATGGTTCCAGAGCATTATCCGAGCATTGCTTGGGAGGATTAAAAATTTGATTAATTGATGGGGCTGGAGCGATAGCACAGCGGGTAAGGCGTTTGCCTTGACGCAGCCAACATGGCCGACCTGGGTTCGATTCCCAGCATCCCATATGGTTCCCCGAGCACTGCCAGGAGCAATTCCTGAGTGCATGAGCCAGGAGTAACCCCTGAGCATCGCCGGGTGTGACCCAAAAAGCAAAAAAAAAAAAAAATTGATTAATTGATAATATATGTGTCGGTTTATTTCTGGGCTCTCTATTTCAGTGTTCTTCAACTTTTCACACTTGGGCTGGCTCCTGTTCAGTGGTTGAAGACTACTCCTCTATTCTTTTGCACTGGTGCAGTTTTATGACAGTACCCTACTATTTTTCTTATTATAGCTTTATAATGTGCCTTGAAAGAAGGAATATGCCTACATTGTTGTTCTTCCTTCTTGGTATTGGTTTGACTTTATGGTTCCATATAAATTGTAGGCAGGTCTTCTATTTCTGTGGACCATGTCATTGGAATTTCCCCTTCCCTTGATTGTTGTAGTGACTTGATGAACCCACATTTGGTTTTGGCACTTGCCAAAGATGAAACTCTTGTATTTTTTAAGAATTTTTTATAAAGTCACCATGATTTACAAAGTTATTTGTAGTTGAGTTTCAGGCATACAATGTTCCAACACTCATCCCATCTTCAGTGTCTACTTCCCTCCCCAATATTCCCCGGGATCACTTCCACACACACACCCCCACCCCAGCCTACCTCCTTAACAGACACATTTTCAAGTTCGTTACGGTTTGGATCTCATGGTGACAGTATGGTTAGTTCTGTGGTTCAGATACATATATCTCAGCCCCACACCACCAATGTATCCAAGGCCACTGGCCCCTGCCCCTGTTAACTCCATCTTCCTCCTCTTAACTCCCGCCTCAGCTTCCCTGGCCTCAATTCTCTTTAGTTGTGGTGTTGGCATGCATTTGGTTGCAGTGTGTCAGAGGTCCAACACTTTGTTGTAGCATCAGGTCACAAACATCAGTGCCAACAGGATTTCACTTGGCAAGTAGGACAGCCCTGGGGACGGAACTCATGGTTGCATATATACAAGACAGGTACTCTACTGGGCCTGCCTGTTGGGTTTTTATCAGGATTGCATTGTATATAGATAACTGTAGGCAGTATAGACACTAATTCCTCCAATCCAAAAGAAAAAGGCAATAACTTTCCGATTATCTGTGACTTCAACATTTTCAATGTGTTGCAGATTTTAGGATAGAGGTCTTTTACCTCCTTCGTTAAAGTTATTAGTGTATGTTTTATTGTTTCTGTGGTAAATGAAATTGTTTTCTTCATTCACCTTTCAGATAGTCTTTGTACCTATCTAGAAATGTAACTTGGTTCTCTATCTTGATTTTTTTTATCCTGCAGCTTTACAGAGTTCACTTACTAATTCTAATAGCTTGTGGTTTTTGAAATCTTTCAGATCTCTAAGAAGATGCCATCTGAAAGCAATGATAATTTAATATCTTTCTTCCTGTCTTAGATGTCTTATGTATCTCCTTGCCTAATAGCCCTACTCTGACTTCCAATACTGGGCCAAACAAAAATAACAAGACTGGGCATCCTTGCTTAGAGGAAAGGTTTTTCATTTTCCACTGTTAGCATTGAGTTTCTTATGAATGACTTTTAATATGCTGAGATATTTCTTCTTTACCTAATTTCCTTCATTTTTATCATTAAAATATATTTAATTTTGTGAAATAGCTTTGCTGTTTATATTGAAATGATGATTATTTTCCATTAAGATAATGCTGTTTTGCCCCAATCATGGTTTCCAGCATTCTCACTATGTATGTACTTTAACATTGAGAATACCTACTCCTTACAAATTATTTCTTCTGGGAAAAATTTGTTTATATGTTCCCCATGACCCTCAAGACAAAGCTGGAGTAATAAAATTAAATTACATGCCTGTCTCAAAATCCCAACAGAAACATGCCTACAAGTCCTGTAAACCCCTGGTGTCCTGGGTCAATGATCTCATCCAGCGTGTGAATTTCTTCAATACCTGGACCAAAATGGCATATGCTGCAATACATAATAGGTATGGATGAAAGAGCATCACATTCTTCCTTCCTTTTGCTCAAGGTTTAACCATTTAAAACATTATTTCACATACTTGGTCTCTGGGTTCTCACACCATCTGAGGGAAAAAGCCAGGGAGGCATTCTTATCTTCACTTTAGGATGAGTAAAGGAACCCTAAGCAGCTGAGAGTCTTGTCCATGGTAATTCTATTCCAAGGACAGAGCAAGGACCACACCCCAGTACGTTTCTCTTTCTATTATTCTATATTGTCACAGTCACAGTCCTCCCGTTGTTCATCGATTTGCTCGAGCGGGCCCAGTAACGTCTCCATCATGAGACTTATTGTTACTGTGTTTGGCATATAGAGTACGTCACAGGGAGCTTGCCAGGCTCTGCCATGCGGGCGAGATACTCTCGGTAGCTTGCTGAGCTCTCCGAGAGGAGCGGAGGAATTGAACTCGAGTCGGCCATGTTGGCTGCATGCAAGGCAAATGCCCTACCGCTGTGCTATCACTCCAGCCCTTTTGGCTAAGATCAAGTGTAGTATCTGTTCTTATCAGTTTAATATTCTATATTATACCCTGCAAAACTAGCAAGGGTAAATCAAAAGGGAAATAAAAAATTAGTTGCATGTAATATTTAATGGGTTTGACACAGAATACAAACTATTTGAAAGGCCTAAAGTGCCTGGTGACACATTTTGCTGAGTGCTTTACTCACACTAACTTACTTCCTTCTCATAGTAATCCCAGGTGACAAATATCATCTATCACTATTCTCGTTTTAGAGCAACAGCCAAAGTTGCCCAAATCCACTGTCTTCCAAAGCACGTTGTGGTGTCAGGTCTTAGCTGGTTTCCATCCATGTACAGGATAAGGTGTTGTGAATATGGCAGAACTTGAGATTTAAAGGAAAGGCAGAAAGGAGAAAATGGCTCAGGACGTCTAAGTGGGATGTTACAACACCCTTGATGGCTCCATCCCATGCTCTGTCTTCCACTAGGTATCTGAAATTCATCACTCCTTGGATGTCCAAAATTTTATCAAAAAACTTGAAGCCTGCCTATTTGCAGAGAGAGAGTGACATGGGTAGAGAAGGATTTCCTACCAAATACTGGTTCCCAGCTTTCTTTTTCCCACAAGGTGAGTGTAAGAATCAAGGAACAATCCCACACTTGACACAGGCAAGCTTGGCCCCAGTCCCTCCCTGGCTATACTTTCTTCCTCCCTGTGAGGATGAGAGGATCCTACAGCACCTGTGCATCTCCAAAGTTCTCGGGCCCGGTCTTGCACTCAAGTACATCCTTGATCCTCCCACTACCCTACCAAATGCCTCTCGTTCTTGGTACACCTCACATGCACCTTGGCAGAGCTTCCCTTTCTCACCTCCGGTCACTGATCCTGTGATGTCAGTGAGTGACATTAGTTTTCTCCCAAAGTTCACTGCATTCTTTTGACTGAGGGACAGGGAGTTTGGGGGTCACATCCAGTCATCCAGTGGTGCTCAGGGATTACTCCTGTTCCTGTGCTTAGGGCTCACTCCTGGCATTGCTCGGGGAATCAATCATATGCAGTTCTGGGGATCAAACCAGAGTCAGCCACATGCAAGGCAAGCACCTTCACCCCTATATTATTTCTCTGGCCCCTATGGAGTGTAAGGGATTCATCAGATGAACACCTACAAGGGATTTGATTTCTCATTCATTTACCCACTGAACAGGAAAAAAGGATGAGTATTGGTTGTGTCATAAATGTCCAACAAGACAAACATCCAATCATAAGATATAACTGACACCAACACATGATGAGGGTGTGATAGGAGGTTTAAAGTGCCAACACTGGGGCTGAGAAATAGTAAAGTGGGTAAGGTGTTTGCTTTGTACAAAGCCAACCCAGGTTCATCCCTAAGCACCCCACATGGAAGGGAGCCTGTTTCAGGGAGACAAGAAGTCATGGCAAGTTTGAGATGTTTGGAGAATCCAAACACAATGTTCATTCAGCAGTTGGGTCTGTGGGGCAGGAGCTCAGGAGAATGGCTTGGGTCGGATTGAATAGTGTGTGACCGAGATGAGCACCTCCAGCAAAGACACAGCATGTCAGCTCCCACCACAAACACAGAACCCATCAAAATCCACATCTCTTCTCTCACGGCCTGTAGCCCCCTGAGATGAACATGGGGAGGAGTCAGTCGTTTCTGGCTGGCCCCAGAGAAATGCTCTTTGGTCTTGATGAATGATAGAGAAATGTGAGAAAGATTATCCAAGGAGGAGGATAGGAGCAAAGGTCTTCAACTCAGGCACCCTTGGTGGATTGTTTATGGAATAGCAAAGAGGTGGCATTCCAGTCTAAAAGGTGTGGGCAGGACTGGGGATTTAATTGCGTAGTCAAGGAATTAAAATGACTCTGTGAGCACCTGAGGCAGATTCCAGGCCCTAGTCATAGGATGAAGTTACTAAACTGACTTTTTTATGCAACATGGGTTAGCAGGGGAAAGAGGAGATTGTGGGAAACAGAAAACTGAAGAGTTGTGTTGGGGGTGGGGAGGTGGTTCGAAAGGCTGGAGTGCATGCTTTGCTTGCATAAGGCCTGAGTTTGATCGTCAGTACCATATCGTTCCATGAGCACCACTGGCAGTGCCATCCAAGCAATATTGCAGGATTAGTCTCTGAGCACTGCAGGTGTGCAAACAACCCCTTCCCCCCCAAAAAGACACAAAAGTACAATCTGAATATGCCTGAGCAAAATAGTATAAGGTTTTGTTTGTGTAAATAGGGAACAGAAGGAAGGAAAATAATGTGTGTGTGTGTGTGTGTGTGTGTGTGAGAGAGAGAGAGAGAGAGAGAGAGAGAGAGAGAGAGAGACAGAGACAGAGACAGAGACAGAGACAGAGACAGAGAAGGGGGGTGCTTGGTTTCAGGTATAGTTCTACCTAGGCGATCCATTTGTCTTGATCAAATGGCCATCTTCGTCATTCCTCATTTCTTAAGATTCTACTTTCCTCTCTCTCGCTCTCTTTCTCACTCTCTCTGCAATCAAAGGGCAAAAAGGTGGCCACAGGCAGTTTAGCAACTCGTTTCCCTTTCCCTGAGGCCCATATACCAGTTTCTGAAAAGACTATGACATTCTCCATCACACCCTGTAGCCCATTGTTATTGCCAGAAGGGTGACATACTCTGACCCTCCAATACTGGGTCAGACATGGGTAAGACCCATCTCCCCACAAATGAATCTAGCAAGGATGGGTTGACGAGAATCTGGCTGGAACAGGACCTACCAAAACAGCATGGTAGCCCACGCTACCCAGGACGCTCATGCATCTGGTGCAGCTGATATCTCAAGCCTGAGTTAGGGGCTGGACCCACACACTCCTCCTTCCTTCCTCCTGCATCTCCCAGCTCTCCTCTGCTTCATCCTCCGCAAGAGACTTCAGCACTGCTAACCACAGCAGTAACTTTAGGGAAACAGTCCCTGAATCTTAATCCCTGAAACTCATAGGATCATATTGATGTGTTTTTCTTCTCCAAAGCCTTTCTTACTTCTGTGCTTCAAGACTTCGGAAGGTACCAAGGAATCCCTCTGAATGCTCTCACTTTCACCCACAAAGTAATCTCTGATAATCCCAATGCCAACGAAGACGCGATGTTCTCCCTAGTTTTGCAAAGGAGACTCAACATGATCCGGAAAGCCTTTAAGGTACTGGAGAGCTTACAGGTGTTGGGGAAGGAGCTGAGAAACTGAACTCCTGGCTTCTGAGCACTGCACCTGAAGTGCTTCCTGAGCACCACTGGGTGTGCCCCCAAAATGTTTGAAAATAAGAACTACATAAATAGGTCCTCTTGGGGCTGGAGCGATAGTACAGCGAGTAGGGTGTTTGCCTTACATTCGGCCGACCCAGGATCCCATATGGTCCCCTGAACACCACCAGGAGTAATTCCTGAGCATCGCTGGGTGTGACCCAAAAAGGGGGAAAAAAAAAAAGAGGTCCTCCTCTGGTACTAGTAGAACTTACAAGATTGGTGTCCAAACCAGGGTCTCTAGGCTCAATGGGAAATACTATTTAAAGTGCTTTTTCTGATTGGGATGATCACTAATAGACCAACGCCTACATATAGGTTGGAGAATTGACCTGGGAAAATTACCGTAAGCAGGATGGTGCCCCACAGTGATGGAAGGGAAGTGAGGTCCCCTTCTCCAAGCAGCCCTCCAGGTGGAGAGTGGAGCTTCTATTTAAGGAAGAACCCTATCTGGAAATTCACTGACACCACCTCTCTTTGATCTCAGGGTATACACCCCCATCACATTGGGGTTCACATCTTTGGTTTGTTCATCGAGGGGGCAAGGTGGAATCATGAACAAAACATACTCGAAGACTCGCTGCCTTTTGAGCTGTGTTGTGATTTTCCTGAAATATACTTTCTGCCAACCAAGGTAACCACCCATTTCCTGCAGCTTTGGTGCCACCCCCCCCACCACCACCACCACCACCACTTCTCCCGGCTGATGTTTCGTCAGTGGCTGGGGCTGCCGGCTGGTGCTCGCACATGGAGCTGTGATCCCCTCCTGCCATGCGCGGTGCTCCCACACGAGCGCACAGGCCCCTTGCAGGCGTGGGGCATGTCCTGGGATGTCTGCATCTCTTTCCAGCAGCAGTGCTGTCTGCAACTGCACCATTCGATTGTGGAATGACTGTAGTTGCCAGTGGTGCCAAGGAATTCAGTATTGCTGCCAGACTGGACTTGTGGCCACTTGCAGGCAGTCTCAGCCCCTGCACCAGGTCTTGGTTCCCTTGCTCACCACAGATGGTCCTAGTCTCTGAATTTTCATTCACCCATTTCACCTTCTAAGATTTTACAGGGTCTCATATTTACTTTGGTAACATACTTTAAACTGTAGCACTGTAGCACTTGTTCAGTGAGACTTGTTGTTACTGTTTTTGGCATATCAAATATGCCACGGGGAGCTTGCCAGGCTCTGCTGTGCAGGCGGGATACTCTCAGTAGCTTGTCGGGCTCTCCAAGAGGGATGGAGGAATCGAACCCAGGTCAGCCGCGTGCAAGGCAAACACCCGCAGTCCCAAGGAGCAGAAAATAGTAAAGCAGGCCTTGCATGGGGTCCATCTGGGTTGGATTCCGTTATCCCGTATAGTCCTCCAAGTCGGCCAGAGCTAGGGGTAAATTCCGAGAACCATTGGCACAAAAAAAGAAAAAAACTCAAAATATAAACTAAAATCGAGGAAGACGCTATAACCTCCAATGTTCTTTCTCAAGAACATATACTAGTTTGCTTTGCATGGAGCCTATCCAGGTTTGATCCCCGGCAACCCATATAGTCCCCCAAGCACTGCCAGTAGTAATTTCTGAGTGCAGAGCCAGGTGTGACCCAAAAAGAAAAAAAAAATATTAAAAAGTCGTGACAATTCCTCTTTGTTGGGCAGTTTCACTGGTATATAGACTATTATTTTAAAAGTAGGCAATCTCCCAAATTCAAGGTTAGTTTGCTTGAGTTCTCCAATTTATCTTACAGATTTTTTTTTTCTCTGCAGATTTCTTCTGAAAATTCTAAGCCAACAGAAGAGACCAGTTCGGAGCTCTACACTTATCAATGCCCAGTTTACCAGACACCTGAACGGTCAAGAATTTTGACAACGACTGGCTCACCCTCCAACTTTTTAACCTCAGTGAATTTACCCACAAAGACTGATCCTACTCACTGGATCAAAATGAATGTTGCACTGCTGTGTGAAAAGAAAGAAAAATAAAAAACTTCTCTTTGCAGATTGGTGTGTATTTACATTCACAATAGCCTTCATTAAAAACAAACATGTTCAGGGCCAAAGTGAGAGTACTCACTGTCCTCTCTCCGGCCCCAGTCTCACCCCTGTAGGACCACAGCCAGATGAGAACTGGAGATCCACAGGTGGGCTCAGCTCAACTCACTGACAAGGACAGCATGAAGGGCTTTCCATCAGCCACTGACCTGGATTTGATCCCCAGCACCCCACTGAATAAAACTGACCAAACTTTAAATTAAAAAATTTTAGATTGATTCCCAGCACCTCAACCCTACCAAGAGTGATCCCTGAGTGCAGAACCTGAGCACAGTCGGGTGCGCTACCCCACCCCCTCAAAAAAAAAATGAAAATTCATTTACAAATATTATGAAATCAACAATAGTACGATGACCATCACCTGGAAGATGAATAGTGAATCTTCTCAAGTTCCAATCAGAGAGCCTTCACATAAACAGCAGTTACTAGAGATCCCAGTTTGCCTTTTGGATTCCCTGTGGTACAGGAAGGCACCCATCCTGGGTAAAAGTAGCACTGTAGCACTGTCCTCCTGTTGTTCATCGATTTGCTCAATTGTGAGACTTGTTGTTACTGTTTTTGGCATATCACAGGTAGCTTGCCAGGCTTTGCCGTGCTTGCAAGATACTCTCAGTAACTTGCCAGGCTCTCCAAGAGGGGTGAAGGAATCAAACTCAGGTCAGCCGTGTGCGAGGCTAACACCCTACCCACTGTGCTATCACTTCTAGGTTCGCAGGTAAAAGTAACTAGGGGGGAAAAAAAGAATTAGATTCTTGTGGGTACCAAAGATCCCAAGTTACAAGAAAAAACACAAGACTCCAAAATGATCAAAGCAACATCTTTTTATTTCCAATATTATTTCCAACTTGAAACAATTATAAAACGTGTCAAACAAATATGTCAAAACAAAATTACAGATGATAGCTGAAATCAAGAAATAGTAGCAGAGGCTCTTTTTTTTCTCATTACCAGGAACAGAATTACCTTCTTTCCTCCCTGAAATTCCCATGACACTCTCCCATGCCAGGAGGAAAATATAATAATAATTTAAAAAATTAACAATTTCACCAAAACTATGTTTGAAGAATCTATAGGATGCAGACTGCTACAGCAAACCAAGTTCATGATCTGTATTAACATAAGCTAAGTCAACATACACTTCAAAGCAATACAGAACACTGTATCTAAATGGCTCATATATAAAATGTATCATTAAAAACCCAAACATATACACTATATTTATTAGATTCCTTATATTTACCATACTGAAAGCAATTTTACTTTGAATACAAAAGTTGAATGAATTTGCTATTCTATTGTTCCTTAAAGGACAATTAAAAACAAGACTGTGTGAACAAAACTAAACGCAATGGCAAAAGCTACCTTATGCAAATCTATTTAAGACATTTTAAACTATTACTTTTTTTAGATGAATAGACTTCTAAAGATAAACAACACTCCTTTATAGGCAGTAGAGTTCTGTACATATAAAGGATATACAAAATACAGTATAAACTGCATAAAGCTAAACAGTAGCAAAAATACTGTTTAATTTAAAAAGTCAAAAACATATAAAAATATTAGCCTAAATGGCAAATTTTCAAACACCAATCTGTGTAAAAATGCTTAAATAGTGATGTTACTCTAAAAATATATACTTTTCTATTTGCAATAGTTTATAAAGGCAAACAAAACACCTGCAATTGAGGTAGCAAAGCCAAATTCACAAACTTTGGATTAAGAAAAATACCCTTCCTGCATTTTGAAAGTATCTTCTACACAACATTAAATGTAGTCTAATTGTTTCAAAGATTTTAATTCACATATATTGCTTTACAAAACTTAATTGAAAATACTGAAAATGTTTTCGTTAAAAAGATACTTAGTCCTGATAATTATATCACATTCAAAATACTGTACAGACAAATCTGAAGTCCCCATATATTACATAAAAGCTAAGTATTTACATTTTCAAATGCTGTTTCTTTGTAGAAGCCGAAGTAAAGCAAACTGCTACTAATAATCTCCCTGACAATGTATACTAAATTACCTTTCAACCCTCTTCATAAGGAACAGTTCATATAAGACCAATTTCTACTTTCAAATCATACAACGAGTAAATGATCAAAAGGGAAATGAATAAAATTTTATTCTAAATGCAGAATGTAAGTGTACTTTAAATGTAACAGTGTTTTTATAAGAAAAAACAACAGGTAACCAAAAAAAAAAATTCAAAACTTAAATAGTAACCCAAATAGTAATTCTGACCATAAACAAATGACTTTCAGATTTAAAGGGTTAAAATTTTCCTGCTAACTAGAATAAAAATTCTAACTTCTTTATCTATTTTCCCTGATGTTGTTAGGATTTAATTAAAAAAAATAGACAAAGTTGGAGTAACATACATTAGTCCTGACTCAAAAAGGAAAAAGAAAATGTAAAGATCCCGTCAGTGCAATGAAAAAGGGTTCATTTTGGATTTTCTTCTTGTTTTCACAGCCGAAAGCCAGAACTGCAGGAGCATTTTACAAACAAGGCAAGAGACTAGTAAATATAAGGAAATATACGGTAGGGCACACGTTGGCAATACTTTTCCCAAGCCAAGCCATACTTCTTCTTACAGTGATGCTCATCACGAGCTTCTCGATGGATAAGCAACACGGTGAAATAAATCACATAAAAATACGGCAGAATGTGATTAAATCCTGTGGGTGACAAGAGTAAACTGTGTTAAGTAACTTTATTAATGCTACATAGTATTCTTTGCTTTTCTATAAACCCTCTACAAATAAGCCACTCGATAACTTTATTTGCTCCCTACAAGGGGGAATAGCAAACCAATTCATAAAAGTTCTATGAGTGATGGGATCAGATACAGCAGAGGGGTTAAACACACAGCCAGACCATCTCGGCTGGAATCCCAGCACCACAGATGCTGCCCCAAGCACCGTCAGGAGTGAGCCCTGAGCACCGTCAGGCATGGCCCCGAATCAAAAAATAAATACGCTTCCCTTGAGAGCCGGAGAGAGCTGAGCACCTGGATGTGCAAGAGGCCCATATTCATCCCTCAGAACAACATGAGCTCAAGTGCCAGGAGCAGCCCTTGAGCACCGCCAGGTGTGACCCCCAAAACAACTGCATTAGAGCATGGCAGAAGAGAAAACAGAAGCTCTTCAGAGAAGAATGCAGTCAAGCAACTATCATGATCATCTGGCCTCTTCTTCCCCCCGCCTGGCTGGGCACACCAATCCAGGGCCAAAGCTGGCAAGCTAGGGATCGAACTTGGCACATGCTTCCACCCGCTGAGCTGTCTCCCTAGCCCCGATCTTTCTCCTTCTCCCACACCCATCAGTGAAGTGGTGAGTGGAAGGGGTGGGGGTTGGGGGGAAAGCAGGAGACACTTGTGGGGTACAGGCCAGCCCCCCCCAGCCCCTTCGACGGTGAGCAAACACAGATAAAATAGATGAGTCTCTCTTCTTCCTCAGGAAGAACCAAAAACCAAAATGGTTTTTCTGAGTCTCTCTTGCCTTGGGTCATAAATATGAAGGTTAATGTCCATATCCTCTCAAAGGGAGAGGGGGGGAACCTCTCAGGCAGTTGAAAACTTTCAGGCTTGAGGCTGGAACGAAGTGCAGCAGGGAGGGTACTTGCCTTGCATGCGACCAACCCTGGTTCCACCCATGGAATCCCATATGGCACCCCAAGTACCACGGTAGAGATCCCTGAGTACTGAGTCGGGAGAAAGCCCCGAGCACAACTGAGTGTAGCCCCCAAACAGAAAAGAAAACTTCCAATTTGGCAAGTGAAAATTCAGGCTCCTGGCCCCCCGCAGGAGCAAGACAGAGCACCTGGGTGAGGCAGGATTCTGCCAGTGCACCCCCTTTCACCCCCACTTTCCCTAACAAGGCAGAGGGACTCCCTAGCCTCACACCTGTGTGTACATGCACACCACACCATACCACACCACACACACACACACACACACACACACAGAGTCCCAACAAAGCGCGCGCCCCCTGGAGTGACCCCGGGAGCACTCTGAGATACTTACCACAAGGCAGAGACCAAGCCAGGGCCATGATGAGATCACCCAAATAATTGGGGTGGCGGACAAAGCCCCACCAACCAGACACGAGGAGATTTTTTCCCGTTGATGTATGAATCGTTTTTAAATCTACATAAATTAAAAAAAAAAGTCTTCAATACCCCTACACCAAGAGAGACATTAAAAACACAGAGAAAATCAGTCATTAAGAAACTTAAATCAAAACTTACGTGCGAGCTTCGGATCAGCAGGATTCTTCCGGAATGCATTTTTCTGAGAATTTGCACATCGGAAGATCACATATCCAGAAACTGTGAAAGTGTTTGAATTTATGTTAACTAAGTTCATATTTAAGAGTAACTGTAATTTCACTTAGAAAGCATCTCTGCACTAGTTTGCACAGTCTGTTATAAACATGGGGCCAAAATACAATGCAAAAAGAGCATTTACACTCCTATGTTCACTGCAGCAGTATTCACAATAGCCAGAATCTCAAGTGCCTGAGAACAGGTGAGTGGATCAAGAAGCTACGGCACACTACACATTCGAATACTACACAGCTGTTAGGGAAAAAATGAAGTAGAAATTTGCTGATACATGGATGGACACGGAGAATATCATGCTGAGTGAACTGAGTCAGAGGAAGAGGGACAGACATTTAAGAGTTGCACTCACTTGCGAGCTATAAAGAAACATAGGAGAAAAGTGTCCCAAGACAAAAGAAATGAAGGGCAGGGGAACTGGTTCTCAGTATGAAGTTTGCCACAGTGGGGAAGGGAGGTTAAGAAGACAATGAGAGGAGGAAGTGGTCACCCCGGTGCCAAAAGGAAGTAGAGTGATAGGCAACATACCCCTTCAGTAACAGTATCGCAAACCAGTGCCTAAGAGAAAACAGCAAAGGGTCTGCCATAGAGGCTGGGTGGGGGATGGGAGGGAAACTGAGGACACTGGTAGAGGGAAGTGGACACTGGTGAAGGATGGGTGTTCCTACATGGTATGACTGAAACTCAATCATGAACAACTTTGTAACTTTGTATCTCATAGTGATTCAATAAACAAGAAAAATAAATTGATTTCTATAAAGAACCAGAGATAGACATCTGTCGGGGAGGAGTAATAAAAAGATGCATGCTGCCACTGGTTCAATCCCCAACCCTGAATGGTCCCCCAGGCACTGCCAAGAGTCACCCCTGAGCACAGCTGGGTGTGGCCAAAAAGAGAATAATTCAAAGCCATGTAAGGAAGATAGCTCAAAGCATTTGTCCGTAGTGATCGCTTCACACATGGAGCTCTGGCTTTGTATACAAGAGGCCCAGGTCCGATTCCCAGCAGGCATGGTCCCCAGCACCGCCAGGAGACACCCCTGAACACTGAGCGGGGAACAGCCCCATCAGAAACCTGAGCTCCAACCAAACTCGACCAGGCACAGCTCACACTCCCCACGTCCCAACCTCAAAGAGGTCCTCCATGATAAGATTATCTCCTCACTCCCTTGCACCCTCTAATATTCCATTTAATAAACTCCCACTCTTCCCCAGTGCTCTTCCAGGGGCTCCCAAGGCAGACACAGGCCCTCGGAAGGCAAAAGAATCTTCCTGCTCTTAAAGGTGCCTACCAGAAAATGCAGGTGTTTAATTGGGGGGGGGGGGGGGGGGGGAAGGCTACTAAAACAATTTCATTAAAAACAAATTAAATCCAAAACACAAAACTGTTTGTGTAAACTTATTTGTTTAGAATTTAGAAAACTCTAGTGAGCCTAAGAAGACAGAGCCCCTCTGCTTAGCTGCAAGACTTCCTTTATTACTCATCTACCACAAAAGACATCAGGCAGATGCTAACCATAATCATCACAAGGGCAGGTCACACATACGGAGACACTCCGAGCACGACAGGCTCAGCAGGAAACATTAAGGACAGAGAAAATGAAGTTCAGACTCACGTTTCAGAACGATAATGAGTGAGGCTACAGGCCAAGACACTTCGTGAGGATGATTGACTAAATAAAAGGCCTGGAAGCTGTAGATGAATGGAACCCACACTAAATCTCCGAAAGCCAGCATGAATCCAAAGCCATCGTGGGTGATGTCCATGGTGGTCAGAACTGCCTCCTAGACGAAAACGGGTGAAAGAAATTATGCTTTTGAAACAGGAGGAGAGGGGAAGGTCAGAGAAAGAACATAGGAGTTGTGGCACTTGTCTCAGGCCAAATCCAGTTCAAACCCCTGGCCTGGCATAGAGTCCCTGAGCACCACCAGGAGCAACCGCTGAGCACCTGGCACATGGTGTGATCGCTGAGCACAGTGCCAGAAGTAAGCCCAGAGCACTGCGGGGAGGATGGAATCAGGGACGTGGCTCGGTGGCAGAGTGTATGCCTTGCGCTGTGAAGCCACAGCTACATCTCTGGCACCACAAAATACAGAGTATAGAAGGGATCACCAAGTCAATGATGGTTGGAGGGAGCGCTCGGGATGGGAGATGTGTGCTGAAAGTAGATGAACATGATGGGCTCTCAATATCTGTACTGCAAACCATAATGCCCAAAAGTAGTAAAGAGAGAGTAAGAGGAAAACTGTCTGACGTAGAGGCAGGAGGAGAGCTGGGATGGGGGGAGGGGGGTATTGAATGGGACATTGGTGATGGAACCGGCAGAGGAACCCAGGTGTGCAGAACCAGGGTGTAGATCTCCAAGCCTGCTCAGATTGGGACTGGGCCTCCTCCACCCAGATCCCCCATCTTCCAGTATGTAGGCATTACACCACCAACTGCCCCCGGCGCCGTGTAATCCCATCAACGGCCAGGACCCAGAGACTATAAACCCAGCTCCTGGAAGCGTGCCGCTGCATTTGCGGCCAAGCGACATCTTATTATCTAGTTCTTACTCTGGAGAACCTGGCAGGCTACCAAAGTATCCTGCCCACACGACAGAGTCTGGCAAACTCCCCGTGGTGTATTCAATATGTCAAAAACCAGTAACAGTGATGGGTTTCATTCTCCTGACCCTGAAAGAGCCTCGAATGTGGCACTTTCTAAAATCTCAGGGCTAGGACGAAGGAGACGTTACTGGTGCCTGCTCAAGGCAATCGATGAACAACAGGATGACAGTGATGCAGTGATTGGTGATGGAAAATGTGCATTGGTGGAGGGATGGGTCTTTGATCACTGTATGACTAAAACTCAAACATGAAAGCTTTGTAACTGTATCTCACAGTGATTCAATAGTGTGTGTGTGTGTGTGTGTGTGTGTGTGTGTGTGTGTGTGTTGAAAATAAACGTGGGAGGGGAGCGGCACTGGGATGTGACTCTGATGTCACACTGAGCCGTGCTGTGGGCTTCATCTCTGGCCACTCAGATGATCCTAAACTAACACATTTCCGAGATACTTTCACCACCAGGCCTTTACCCAGGTCCCTCCCTTTGTCTTTTCCAAATTCAGCTGAAGCCTTCTCTGGACTACCACCTTTCACCACTCCTCAGCCCTCTTAAGAGCTTCTTAAAGCTACCGGTTGGTGGTCTAGAGCCAAGCTGATGGGGGAGGTGGGGGGGGGGGGGCAGGCCCTCTTTTCAGCCTTGCCTCCTGGCACCTAGCACACCTGGCACAGAGTAAAGGAGTAAAGGGTTCACAAGGACACCTGTGAGAGTCCGAAGACTGTCAGTGCCACTGAATCGCAATCTGGCTTTTCACATACAGATGTGAACTATTCCACGCTATAAGGTAATACTGAGCAACACGGTGTTGGAGTACGAGGAACTTAGGTATTATCAGGTTGCACCCATCACAGTGCTCCCGAGTCATTCCCAGTACTTTGTCTATAACTACTTCTTTGTGCTCTCTTTCCCAACAAATTTGTAAGGTCTCATCCTTCTAAGACACTGAAGTTGTACTGTAAGTTAATATTGCCTTTCTCCTCTCCTTACGTCTTTTGAATAGTTTAATGCAACGTCCTTTTTGTATAGATACAGAAGACAATTAACATTATGCTTTGTAACTTAGGAGTTGATTGGCTTTGAATACTATTCACTCCTGGGCATCTGCTTTTTCAACTTAAGCCTAAGTTGCCCTCACTTCCTAGTGGCCCCAAAAGCAGGGTCCCAACGTGGGACTGGATGGAATCAGGGCAAGCCGGTAAGTTATGTGCTACCCTTGCATCGAGATGGGCCAGGCCAAGGTGCCACGATTCTTAACTATAGGTTAAGAGTCTGATCATAGGCAAATGCTGTCATGATCCAAAAGTAACAAGACTAGGACCCTGCTAAGAATAGGAAAGATATCTGGCCTGAGCATTGCAGTCTGAGATCGAGATGGCCCTAGGAGAGCAATTCTATAAGCTTAAAGTATTTCTTACTGTGTCCATACAAAATTATTTATATTATGTATGCTTATATGTTGGTCAGACAAGGAGAGGAGAAACACACCCAGGGAATTCCGTTCTAGGGTGGGTTGATCTGCTAAATGAGAATCTGTCCTAGAAGCAGCTTTCCCGTGTGTCCTGACTAGCTTGGATGAGACTGAACATTTCTCCCCTTCAAACTGCCTTCAGTAAATAATTTCAGTAAATTTTAAGAGGCATTTTCCCTTTTCTCTCAGTAATCTCAAGTGTTAGCCAGGCCTGATCTTTGGGATGTAGATTCCAGGCTCTAGGCAGGCTAGTCTTTGGGATGCAAAGCTCAGATACTTGTCTTTGGGATGTAGATTCCAAGCTCTAGCAGACTGGTCTTTGGGATGCAAATCCAAGTGCTTGTAGCTTGTGAAAGTGCTTGTGAAAGGTTTCAGTCTTGGTTTTGCATCCTCTTTCCAGAGGCCAAGATTACTGGCCTACAGATGTATAGCAACAATGTATGTTTTGCCCCCTCAATGTTCTTTCTGTAACTCCTTTTGATGACATCACTGTATTGCGCCCTTTAGAGGTACCATGATCTATATAAGAGAGATTTCAGGGCTCTCTGGGGGAACATGTGCCTGAGAGAATGGGGAACACAGGCTGAGAGATTCTGGGGAACACGTGCGTTAGAGAACCTGGGAAGATGGGGCTGAGAGAATGGGGATGGAAGCTGAGAGAACAAGTGAGCACGTGCTTGAAAGATCCTGGGGCCTCTATGACATACATCTCTTCCATGTAATTAATTGCTACTAAGACCAACCAGCCTGGCCCTCGTTTCCTTCCTTCGCCTGACCATCGCCATCGACCTCCCTGGAGTGGGGAAACGGCCTGAGACTACTGAACGCAAGCGGTGGGAGAGATAGGCCGCTGCCGTCCCTTTGCCCGTTTTTTTGTGTGTTTACACACACGGTAAACCTCTGGAGTAAATCAGTCATAAATGAACGGCCTTCTCTTGTGGATTTGCTTAACTAGTATCAATAGCCAGATCACTTCTGTGGCCTGGATGCCTGCAGGCCAGACTGGATGAAGAGACCGCACTGAGGGTCAGAACTCAGAATGGGGGCTGAGAGAGCACCCTGGGCTGAGCACCTGCAGTGCACAGAAGGAGGTCCCCTGGTTGGATCCCCAGCAACACAGGCTACACTGAGTACCTCAAAATAGAACAACAAAACAAACCTCAAAAGGCCTAACCTGACAGTATCCCTCAGCTGCCTCTAACTTCCAAATGGATCAGATGTAGAACACTCTGAGAATTCACATCTGTTGAAGAATCAATGTTCCATGGGGCCAGAGAGAGAGCACGGGGCTCAATGCATGTGTTGTGCATGCGGCAGAATTCAGTTCAATCTCCCAAACTACCTCTGGGCTCAGAACTGCCAGAGGTCATCCCCACACACACACACCCAAGCCCCCCAAATCAATGTTCTAGGATTAATACCTCCCAAGTGATGGTGTTTTTTCGACAAGGCAGAAAGTAGAGCAGGGAGATGGTTGGACAGGCTGGCACACATATTTTGCACCCAGAAGCCACCAGCTTCAATCCCAGGCATCCCATCAGCCCCTGCACTGAGCCCGAGGGTCCCAAGCACCACCAGCACAGGAGAATGGATGCCATGAACTCTTGGGGGACTTTCAGCCCCACACGAGTCAAGACTGCCCATTATCATGTACTTGGCTCTGAATTTTCTGGACCAAAACAGGATGAAAGTAATCAAGGAGTAGATAAGCAAGCAGATGCAGTGACTGCCTCCTGGACCCTGGGCAGGGGCTGTGCACCCTTTCCTAAGGAAGATACCTGACAGCAGGAGCGGGGCGGACATTCCACCCAGTCCTGGGGTCTCCAGACAAGCCAGAGGCAGCTCTCATTTGGGGGAGTTCACATTTCCTTCAGGTTTTTTCTCCCCCAGGCAGTGCTCAGGACTTATGTGTTTCCACACTCAGGGATCACTCCTGGTGATGCTGTGGGACCATGTAGGATGCCAGGGATCGGACCCAGATCAGCCTCATGCAAGGCAAAAGCTCAACTCATGGTACTATCGCTCCAGCTCCAGGCTGGACTTTTAAAATGAATTACCTCGTTCCAGAGAGCATCCACCACGTAAAGGAGCTGGAAACTATTCACCAGAATCATCGCTACCGATGGAGTCTCTCGATTGTGTACCTTCATCTCAGCCATTAACATCACCAAGTTAATTATCACCTGAAATCAAAGGAGCAAACGTGTCTCAGTGTCTCCCCATAGAGACAGTCTCCTCCAGCTGGGAAAGCCACAGACGGCACCTGTCAGTGACAAGACACGTCCACAGGGTGAACCCCTGCAAGATACACGACGAGAAGCCCCCAACTGAACCCCGAGGTTCCTAGCCCACCACTGCTCCAGCAACAACCCCCACCCAGCAGAGAAAGGTGTAGGGAAAATCACCTACTTTGGGAAACACTGATCTACACTATAATTTTCCTACAAAAATACAAACAGATGTAATCAAAATGAACTCTAATTTTCATAGGTTTTCTTAAACCTTTGGAATCTGTTTACAGTCAGGAAATGTTTTTAGTAGTACACAGATCTATGGTAAGCTATCATTATTCTAAAAAACCTCCCACTTAAAAATACCTACATTTGTGTCTCTGAGACAAATTTGCACTACTAAGCTGAAATTTTAAATGAAAAAAAGACATACCCATCCAATCAATCCAGGACGCAATTCACAAAAGTATTTGAGATCAAAGGAGCCAATCCGAGGATTTAATTCCCGGCCGATGAAGAAATCATAGATGGCATTTCCTAAGAAAGGAAAAGTTTTTGCTCTATGGTTATGAGAGTAGATGCACTACTTTTAAAGAATCTGACTTTTCACCACGTAATTCTGGTTTATTATTTTTTATGCTGCCATGATTTTTGTATTTTGGTTAACAGTTGCAGATGGAATATACAACTTTGTAATGTTTCCAACAAATAAAAACAGTGTATTTGAAAAAAAAAAAAAAAGGAAAAGTTTTTAACCAAACAACAGAACTCTAAACACAATTATGGGGCTTTAAAATTGTACTGCTGGGTTAGAGAGATCATAAAGCATTTGACTTGCACATGGCAAACCTAGGCTCAATCTTCAGCATCTCATCTGGTCGCCACAGTCCACCTGGAGCAATTCCTGGGCTCAGGGCCAGGAGGAAGCCCTGAGCACTGTGGGTGTGGCCCCTAGCCCCCCAGCCCCAATTTTTCTTCTAATGAAACGTCACTGTTGCCTAATATCCAGGGCTCACTATGCAACTGCCTTCAGGAGCCCGACAAAGAATCCCTGAGGGACGGGGATGGGCTGGGAGGGAGGACACTGAGTCAGAACTAAAACATGGTTGCGGGCTGGCTTCATGGGGTGCCAGTCCTTGGGGCCAAGTCACTGGATTTTACAGAGTTAGAGGTTTTGAATGATAAACTCAATTTTTTTTAATGTGCACCTTTAGTTAGTTTTTTTAATATTTAAATACTTTAGGTTAGAATCAATCTACAACCTTGGTGTGCGCGCGGATGTGTGTGTGCACGCACGCACGCATTTAACGAACGCTCACTGCTCAGTCAAAAAATAATAGCTGGGCCAAGGAGACAACTCAAAGGGCTGGAGCATGTTTTCCCTGGGGGACGGAGGTGTAGCAGTAGTAATAGTAGTAGCGGCCATGTACTGTAATGTTACTGTATATTTTTATTAAAAAGGTAAAGGTAAAGGCCCTCCCGTTGATCGTCGATTTGCTCGAGCGGGCCCAGTAACGTCTCCATTGGAGACTTTGTTGTTACTGTGTCTGGCATATCAAATACTCTCGGTAGCTTGCCGGGCTCTCCGAGAGGGGCGGAGGAATCGAACTTGGGTCGGCCATGCTGGCCGCTAGTAAGGCGAACACCCTACCGCTGTGCTATCGCTCCAGCCCTAGGGCTGGAGCGATATTTTTATTAACTTTAATTAATGTTACTTAAAGTAAAAATCTTGAAATGTTTACTTATCATCAAGTTAACATAAAAAGGAAAAATCAGAAAAGCATGAGGAAAGAAAAATCAAATTAGTATCTTCTAATTTTTTTTTTTTTTTTGGTGGGGGAGTCACTAATGTTCCTGGTGGCCAACATTCAGGATAAAGAAGGGCTTGGAGGTGCTGCAATGCCGGGGAGGAAACCAAGTTATGCTGCATGCAGGGCAAGTGCCTTTACTACTCTATTATCTCTCAAACCTCTTTCCATTGATTGGTTGCTGTTTTTTGAGACCAGACTTGGTTGTGTTTACTCCCAGCTCGGTCTCAGAGATCACTCCTGGCGGTGCTCAGAGAACCAAATGCAGTGCCAGGATTGAACCCAGGTCAACCATGTCCGCCATACTATATCCCTCCAGCCCCTCGATGCATTCTTCAAATATTTTTTGTCTTTTTATTTCTGCGTGTTTCTTCTTCATCTTTCAGAAACTGAATCTAGAAACAAAGCCATCTTTGCCAGTCTAGGTAGCAACTGCAATAGTCTGCGGGCTCGAGGACGGAAGCTCTCCAAGGCTCACCAGAGCTGTTAGGCGACAGTTTATCCCTCGGTGCTCTCAGGGCCCGAAAGTAGAGATAAAAACTCAAGACCACAGAAAATGCCGTGGCTGCCAATGCAAACTGCTGGAAATGATTGTACATATAATCAAACTCGATGCCCCCAAAGAGAGAGGCACCAACCGCTGCAGCCGTCAGGAGAAAAGCGTAGAATCCTTGGGGAAGAAGAAGAAAAAATTAACGTTAACCTGAAGCTAACATGAGAATCACACGACTACAATATAATGTCCTGCAGCAGGAGCCGTAGTGGGGCATTTGCCCTGTAGGCAGCCAACCCAGGTTCGACCGCCAGCACCCCATTGGGTACCCTGAGCCCCTGCAGGAGTGATCCCTGATCTCAGAGCCAGGAGTAAGCCCTGAGCACTGCCAGGTGTAGCCCAACACCCAAAATAATGTCATGCCTTTTTTATTGAAGTCTTAATTTCATCTGTAAATCCAATATATACAAATATATGAGGGATAGAAATAACTCACAACTTTTCAAGTATTCTAGTATGTTTATGCTATTATTTTTCACTCTAAGCAGTCATAATCTGCTTTCCATGGAGAAAAAGCTGAAAAGAAATGCATAGAGATTTACTCTGAAAAAGCTGAATATCAAAACTCCTATGATCCAAATTCTCAGGCCCAAAGGCAAGTGACGTTGGGTCAAACGTGGTAGTGCTCAGGACTTCCTCGTCTCTGTACTCAGAGATCACTCCTAGTAGAGCTCAGGGGACTGCAGGGGGTGTCAAGGATCAAACCTGGGTCAGCCACATCAAGCAAGAGACCTACCCTAGATCCTATCGCTCCAGCCTCCCAAATGGGGGAGAGTATTAACTCTCCCATGAGTATTAAAACTCCTGCTCCAAGCCAGATTAGCTAACCAACACAGTGGACTGTCTTTTTTTGGGGGGGTGGAGGCTGAAGGAGGATGGGCTGCGGGAGAGGCACACCCAGAGGTGCTCAGAGGCTATTCCTGATTCTGCGTTCAGGAGGGAGTCCTGGCTATGTGCAGAAAACCATATGCTATACCAGAGATCGAACCAGGTCAGCAGTGTGCAGGGCAAACGCCTTTCTCCCTGTACAATCTCTCCGACCCTATCTTTTTCTTTTGGCAGTTTTACTTTTAGAAGCTGAGTGCCTGCGAGAGTTGTGTTCTCAGTCCAAATTGATCTGGAAAATCAGAACAACATGGAAAAGTAGTCAGTTATATTAAGTATTCTAAAATCAATTTTTTTTTTTTTTTTTTTTTTTTTTAGTCTTTATCCTAAGAGCTCTTTTGGTTTTTGTGTTTGGACCTAAAACATTCCTTTCTGCGGATCAAACTGGGGTAGGCCGCATAGTCCTGGCCCCCAAATCAAAATTTTTCCTAAGTAAAATGGTCATCTCTTATTTGGGTTTGGTTGTTTGGATTTGGTTCTGGTGCCATACCTGGCGATGCTCAAAGCTCTACACTCAGGGATCACTCCTGACAGACTCAGGAGACCATATATGGGGTGCTGGAATCGAACCCAGGCCAGCAGCATAGAAGGCAATGTACTATTTAAATCCACTTTTCCCCCCCCATATATAAGACATACTCCAGAGAGTAGCCTCAGAAGTTTGGTGTTTTTTTTTTTGTTTTGTTTTGTTCTTATTAAACTCTTTTAAACCTACACGGTTTTTATGAATCCCAGTGCCACATGGTCCCCTGGACATCACTAGGTACAGCCCTGGAGGCTGGAGTACCCCAGGTCTGGGACCACAAGTTCAATAGGCAGAGAATCAATGGGAAGGATTCCAGGGTTTCCTGAACAACTCTTGGGCAGCCCTCCAGTTATTATAAATATTAAAGAAAAAAATAAAAAGCAGCTTCTTCTTGCTCTTTAGCTTTTGTGGATTTTAAATAATTGTTCAAACTGTTTTTAGGAATCTCCTTAGTTTATGTTGGCCAAACCTCACAAAGAGAAAAGCCGTAATACTAAAGCCTGGGTAACTAGATGAGGAAATTGGTTTTGTTCTTTCTTTCCTTTAGTGTGTGGGGTGAGTTGGGCCAAACCAGGCGGTGCCCAGGGATCACGCCTGGCTCTGCTCAGGAGTCACTCCTGGCAGTGCCAAGGGGACCATATGTGGTGCTGGGGAACAAACCAGGGGTTGCTCTTGCACACAAGTGCCTTATCCTGTACTTTCTATCTCTCGGGCCCAAGAAATTTTTTTTGAAAGGATCCAGTACCAGGTTTGGCTCAATAAGTAAGAGGGGGCTAGAGAGATAGGACAGTTGCAGGGGTGCTTGCCTTGCATGTGGCTGACCCAGGTTCAATCCCCGGAATCCCCTATGGTCCCCTAAGCACCGCCAGGAGTAATTCCTGAGTTCAGGGACAGGAGTAACCCCTGAGCATAGCCAGGTGTGACCCAAAAACTAAAAATGTAAATAATAAAAGTAAAACATTAGCAACTAATAAAACAAAAGTTAAAAATTAAAATATAGAATGTAATAAAACAAAAGATCATTTAATAAAAACTAAACTTAAGTAAATTTCTTAAAGTCAAGTTAATTGCAATTTATCAAAATCTTCACCAGGCTAAGGAGGACTAACCCTTTTAGCATGCACACCACCACACTGGGCATACCCATATTGAGGGGCAATGTGTGCCTGGATCTTCAGGGGCTCAGTGAGACCACCACTCAGAGCTCTCCTATTAACAACACCTCCTACCTGTCAATTTCCTGGAATCAAGGGCACTAATAATCACGGAATCAATTTCAAACCATGAATCTAAATTCTGTCATCAGACAGACACCAATGCCCAAACCAATGCTGACGTCAGAATGGCATAACTCGGGAAAAGGGAGAAAGCAGGAGAGAAGGGGCCCAAGGATCAGACATTTAGAGGGGAAATATTCCATGTGAAAGCACTAAGAACAGATCTAAAACACATGCAAGAGACAATACAGTGGCCAGTGGTCATACTGAGTGGGGACCAGGCAAGCAGCTGAGCACAGGAGTGCAGTAACTCCAATACATGGAGCATTTCTGACTTGACTGAGCAAGGACTGGATGGCAACACAGATATTATTCCAGTTGGTAAAAAATGCTACCAAGAAAATAAAATTGAATAACAGGGATGAGTGAGAGGCTATTTTACTGCATATAAAAGTTGGCTGAATATAGATATACAAACACTATATGGTCCTTCACACAGAGGAAGTACTGAGCTATTATCAGTTTCAAATAGATTTACGAGTACAAAATTCAAAAACCAGGGGCCAGTACAATAGTACAGCAGCTAAGGCATTTGCCTTGCACTCAGTCAGCCAGGATTCAATGCCCATTAACCAACATGGTCCCCTGTGCACCTCCAGGAGTAATTCCTGAGTACAGAGTCAGGAGTAACGACTGAGCATCTCAACAGGTGTGGTCCCAAAACAAAGCAAAACAACAACAAAAATTCAAAAACCTAAACTATTATTAAGTAGAGTCTTAAAAAAAAAAAATCACCATTTAATCTATATTTGAGTCTTCTTCCATCACAAAGAGGCGTTCCTTCTGCAACCTTTAAAGAAAAAAAAAAAAGCTTTAAAGTCTAATGCTTATACCATCATACATGTCTTCAAATATGACTTAAATTTCAACATGCCCAGGGGGAATCATCTGATAACAAAAAAAGTTTAATCAATAGTAATTTTCAAAATACCATAATGGCATGCATGCCCTCCAGTGATGCAATTCCACCTTCAGAATTTACCTTAAATATAAATCTAGTAATAACTTCTCAATATGCTAAGACCACTGCAACAGCACTACCCTCCCACACGCCACGAGACAAACTGCTTTCAAGAAACCTAATCAATTTCTAATTTCAAAAATGTCCTGTAACTTTTCACTACTCAAAAAATAATGTAAATGTCTGACATGTATGAGGCCCCTTTCACTGGACTCACCCACTTACCAATCCACTCCGGTACATGAGATATTATTCATTTAGATACCTGCTGAACTACTTATACGCATGTGCTTTACCCAGTTAGCCAATCACTCCTGGGATATTTTATCTCCAGAAAAGATCACAAGCACTTGTTGGGCTGGGAGCATTTCACCTCTTCATATGAAATTACAATACCCAGCAGAGATACTCATACAAGAAGGTGCTCAAGAAGGGTCTTCAGCATGGTTTGGAAGTCAGCCCCACTTGCTGGGGAAAATGGCAGTTGGGATGGAGAAGGAACCACTAAGTAAATGATGACTGGGGGGATGGCTTAGGATGGGAGATTTGTGCTGAAAGTAGACCAAGGACCAAACACGATGACCTCTTAGTATCTGTATTGCAAATCATAACGCCTAAAATAGAGAGAGAGTAAGAAGGATTATACCTGCTACAGAGGCAGGGAGTGGGGTGGGGTAGAGGTGGCAGGTAGGACACTGGGAACAATGGTGGTGGAAAATGTGCACTGGTGGAGTGACTGGTGCTCGAGCACTGTATGACTGAAACAATCATGCAAGTTTGTAACTGTATCTCATAGTGATCCAATAAAACTTCTTAAAAAAAAAAAAAGGTGCGCAGGAAAGGTACAATTTAAACAAGATGAGTCAAACTAAAGTCTTCGCCATGGCAAACACATTTTATGTGCAAAAATCACAACTCAGAAATGTACAATTCTGGGGTCGGAGCAATAATACGCTGCTTGTCTTGCACCCAGCTGACCCTTTTTCAATCCCAACATTCCATAGAGTCCCCTAAGTACTGCCAGGAGTGATCCCTGAGCATCGGGCCAGGAGTAAGACCCGAGTATCACCAGATGTGCGCGCGCACACATACATACACACACACACACACACACACACACACACACACAAATAAACCAGACATATACAACCCATTCCCACAGTAAAATATGAGTTACAGCTAAACCACTAGACTTTTTCATTAGCTAAGAAAGGGAACCCAAGAGAAACGTAAATACCCCTTTGAGACCACATGATTGGTTAGCAAAAACCCACATACTAACTTTAAATGACCCTCATCTAGTAAAAGTATCTAACAAAGACCATGGGGGTAATTTTATTCTACGACTACATATAAAATTTCTAACCAAGAAATTTGCTTTCCTTAATGAGTATCAAATTTAAAGCAGTCTAGTAATTATTCTAACTTAGACTTTTTTAATTGTAGCGTTTTCCTGTAAAAACGCCTGATTATCACAAAAATCCCACTAAAGGAATCATGTTACAGTGAGATTCCAAAGTACTTGAGTTGATAGCTCGACCCTCCTATCACACCTCCTATAGCAGCATTAGCTAATAAATTTATTCTTTCGTTTTACCAACAGTCCATAAGCTTGCAAAATCCAAATAAAAAGGTCATTAAATGAATTAATGTTTAGGGAATCTTTTGTTCCTTTAAATATCTCTAAGGAAATTTTAGTCACTGTCACTGTCACTGTCCTCCCATTGTTCATCGATTTGCTCAAGTGGGCCCAATAACATTGTGAGACTTGTTACTGTGTTTGGCATATTGAATATGTCACGGGTAGCTTGCCAGGCTTTGCTGTGTGGGCGAGATACTCTCAGTAGCTTGCCAGGCTCTCCGAGAGGGGCGAAGGACTCAAACTCGGGTCAGCCATGTTGGCCACATGCAAGGCAAACGCCCTACCCACTGTGCTACTGCTCCAGCCCAAATTTTAGTATTGACTGATAATTTAAAATTCTCCACCTCAAGTGACATATAGTAAGAGAAAATTTTCTTCCTTAAAACTCTATAAGCTGGGTTCATGTGCAAAATAGCTTATACTCTTTCCAATTTGGTTTGTTTGGGAAGTTACACAAGAAACCTCAATTAGATTTCAAACTTCTGCTTCATAAGCCAGCAAATGCTTCAGGATACAAGAGTATAGTCTTAAGAAACTAAAAAAGCTTGGTACTTATAATCGAAGATAAATTTTAACCCTAAAACAATAATCAAATTTTTTACATATAGATAGGAGAAAGAGGAAGAAAAAAAAAATCTCATCACACTATGCCCTACTAAAAAGAAACTTACCTTTCCTATCGGCAGTATGTAGAACAGAGCCTGGAGGAAAAACCAGAGAAGGTAGATCCCAAACACTCTGGTCTCCCATAAACCAGTCAGATCCGGCAAGGGAGGAGGGAAATTCAGAAGACTGGGATCCTTCTGCTGACCCATCAACAGGAGCAGGAAAGGGAAGACAGGCAGCCCAAGCATGAGGAAAAGCACACCTGCAAATAATCATGCACATTCAAGGTGTGATTGGCCATCCGTCTCCCCCACCCCTCACTCCACCTCCCAGTCCCCCACCAATCACTTTTATTAAGGTCAGAACTCAACTGGTGTTTGAAATCAATTTCTCTCTTTGTTTTTTGTTTTGGGGGTCACACCCCCTGATACTCAGGGGTTACTCCTGATGGTGCTTGGGGGACCATATGGGATGCCGGGGATTGAACCTAGGTCGATTGCATGCAAGGCAAGCACCTTATCCGCTATTGTATCACTACAGCCCCAAAATCAGTTTCTAGACCCTAAAATCAGTTTCTAACATACAATTAAAAACTCCTAATCTAAGAACCAGAGCAATAGTACAGCATGTAGGGCACTTCTCTTGCACATGATTGCTGACTGGGTTGGATCTCTAACACCCCATGATCCCCCATGCACCACCACGAGATAGCCCTGAAAGCAGAACCAGAAATGGCCCAAAACCAAAAAGAGAAAAAGAAAAATTTCATCTCTACTCAGAAGAGACTCCTATGTTCACTGCAGCACTAATCACAATAGTCAAACTTTGGAAACAAACCATGTGTGCAAGAATAAATGACTGGATAAAGAAACCGAAAAATAGAGATGCCTCCGTTTCACTCGGTGCGGGGGGAGGCGGGGGGAGCGCAGGTGAGTCCCTTCGCCTGCCCCAGCAGAGCCCCGGCAGCCAAAAACCTCCAGAACCCCAACACTGTCATGCCTCCATGCTCACATATCTCCACAGGCTCAGATGAGCCCATCCATGATAATGAATTTGCTAAAAAAAAAAAAAAAACTCAGGAATGCCGGTTTTGTGACCAAAATCTCCAGTCTCTCAGAGTGGGAATGAGAGTAACCTCCCACATCTCTCTGTGCTTCCTGGAGCCTGGCAGTGATGCCCATGAACAGCCTCTGGCGCCATATAAGCTCATTGACAGCCATGATCCAAACACAAATAAATCTCAGAAGAGAGCAACATGCTGCAGAGATACCCCCACACTCCAAAGTCACCATCCAGTTAAAAATTTAACTCTAGCTATATTACCCTATTTAAAATTTTAGAATTCCTGGAGCAAATTCTAAAATTCTATGAATGCAGCCTTGCAACATCTCATACTCTGCCCCACTTAAATGCAGCAAGAATAGGACATCACATATGATGGGGTGTAAAGTAGAAGGCAACATATTTTGATAATATATATTGGATATATATATATATATATATATATATATATATTTCAAAAACAAAAGCCTCCTAATCTCTACCTGTAAGTCCAATAGGCAAGCAATCATAGGCTTTAAAAGTAGTAAGAGGTGGGGGCTGGAGCGATAGCACAGCGGGTAGGGCGTTTGCCTTGCACACGGCCGATCCGGGTTCAATTCCCAGCATCCCATACGGTCCCCCAAGCACCGCCATGAGTAATTCCTGAGTGCAGAGCCAGGAGTAACCCCTGTGCATCGCCGGGTGTGACCCAAAAAGCAATAAACAAATAAATAAATAAAAGTAGTAAGAGGGCTCAGGGGAGTGCCAGAAAGAGAACAAGGATTAATACAGTTGCTTGCCTTGTTCCAAATGATCATGGTTCTAATCCCCAACACCACATATGATTCCAGTGTACCACCGGGGGTTATTGCTAAGCACAGAGCCATGACCACTGCTGGGTATTAGCTCCATCAATATCATCATCATCATCATCAACAATAGTAGTACATTACTAGCAAATAGTACTGAAATACTACTAGTAGTAGATCAAGCTAAACTCTATCTCAAATCAATCTGGAATAAAAGTATTGAAACATCAACAAACTGAAGATTAAAACATCCACAATTACCAGCCTCATCTTAAAATTTTTTTAAAAAAACTTCTTATGGGGCCAGAGCGATAGTACAGCACGTAGGGCGTTGGCCTTGCACGTGGCCGACGTGGTTTGATCCCCGGCATCCCATATGGTTCCCAAAGCACCGCCTGGAGTAATTTCTGAGTGCAGAGCCAGGAGTAATCCCTGACAATCACTGGGTGTGATCCAAAAAAGACCAAAAAGAAAAAAAAACAAACAAAAAAACATTTTATAAGCCCTCATTTCTCTTGTCATTTTGTTGCTATCATTGTTCTTATTGTTTTGAGTTTTTATTGTTGGGCTAACCCCTGGCTCTGTGCTCAGGGAACACTTCTAGCAGTGCTCAGCGGACCATCTGCAGTGCTGGGGATCAAACCGGGGTCAGCCATGTAAAAGAAGGGTGCTGTACTATCTGTCTGGCCCACTATACCCCTCATGTCCTAACAAAATTAGTGTCACATCCATGCAACATGTGCCTAGATTTTAAGTGATAACGGACACCATCTTTCACCAGATTAGCTCCTATGGAGTATAAAAAATTTACAAAGCAATTAAGACATGCAGGAATTTCATCTATTGGGCAAGAAGTATTTTCTTTAATAAGCTCATAAACTTGCCAGTTCCACCCACTAAGGGATCCAAGCTTTTATTTACTGTGAACACTTCAGCTCTATGCCATCGCCCCCCTGGACCTGCCTGGCGGGTCAGATAGACACTATTGCTCAGCTCACGCCGGCGGCTTCCCACCTGCAGCTGCTCAGGACTGACCATCAACAGAGTTCCCTGACCACTCACCATCTTTCCTGCACAGACTCTCACAAAACACGTTCTCTTATCACTTCTTCGCATTGTCTGTTCAAGTCCTATTAGTAAAGTTTCAAATACAACCACAGGGGCTGGAGCAATAGTATAGTGGGAAGGGCATTTGTTTTGCACACAGCCGACCCAGGTTAAGGGTTCAATATATGGCATCCCATATGTCACCCCCCCCAAATACTGCCAAGAGTAATTCCTGAATGTCAAGTAACCCCTGAGTTGTGTGAAGCAGCCTCTGAGCATCGCCAGGTGTTGTCCAAAAACAAAAAGAAAAAAAAACTAATAATCAAATACAACAGCATTATAATCCTTCCTAGCCTGCAGTAATTTTCAAAATTTAATACAGTGGGTAGGGCACTTCTTTGCACAGAGCCAACCTGGGTTTGATCCCCAGCACTCCACAGGGTTCCCTGAGCACCACCAGGAGTGACTCCTGAACAAAGAGCCAGGAGTAAGCCCTGAGCACAGCTGGGTGTGGCCCAAAAAATCAAAAAAATTTTTTTAAAAAGGGACTTCCCCTTTAGGCCTTTGGATCTGCGGTTCATCAGAAGGCTCCCCCCCAGGGCCCATCCCATGCCCAGATCCCTCAGTTCCTGCTTCAGAGTTTGTTCAGAGAAAGGCTCTTCCTGCCCACCACACAGCAAACTTCAGCCATTTCCCCTCCCGAGGCCCAGTTCTGATGCCTACCCGGGACTCCTCCAAACTCCAAGTCTTTCGTCTGTGCCATCGTTGGCGCTTCAAAGGTTCTCAGTGATGTTGGTCCTTTCGTAACCCTTTTCTCTTCCTTAAAATCGATCTCTTTTAATTTGATCTCTTCTCTTCTTGGGCGCAGGCTGTACTGTGTAGCAATGTAGCTACTATCTTGTGACAAATGGAATTTTTCCTAATGAAAAGATGAACTGTGTCAAATACGTGAAATTGATGATCATCTTTAATGCAACCACATTAACTCCACATCCCGATATGGCAAGGCATAAGTTCACTGAGTAACATCCAGTTCTAACTTCAGAACGAAATTTTAGAAGACAAAAGAAATACTCAAGTTGCTTCAGTGGGCTACCTCAGAGAAAGTCCCCTTAACAGGATAGAGTAACACTCACGAACCTCTGTGTTTTTGTAAGGCAAGTCATTCTTCTCCACGTGCTCAGACTCCCCATTATATCTGTGGATGCTATTTCCAAATGGCTTCTAAATTAAAGAATATAAAACATTTTAATCATGAGACTCTTGACTGATGAAAAAAAGAACCCAATCACAAAAACTTACTATTATATAAATCAAGCAGTAAAACAAGCTACAGGTTTTCAGACTCAATTCATCCGACTTTTGTTAAAAAAAAAAAAATACAATTAGTATAAAATTGGCTATCATTTTCCAAACATACAAGGATTAAATCTATAATAATACAGATTTCTGCCGACAATTTCTTATCTTTTAAATGTAATTAGACTGAGTGTAACAATTATTCAGTAACATGTACTCAACAATATTTGTTTACGAAGATAAAGTATAAAACTGATAAATTTGTTCATTAACTGGGTCTTTAAAATGGGGTACAGGGAAGACTGGGGTGATAGTATAGCAGGTAGGGTCATTTGCCTTACATATCTGACCCGGGTTTGATTCCCAGCACCATATATAGTCTCCTGAGCACCATTAGGAGTGATCCTTGAGTGCAGAGTCAGGTTTAAGCCCTGAGCATCTCCAAGTGTGGCCAAAAATAATAATTTTTAAAAATTAAAAAGGGGGAATAACTGACTGGCCCCAGAACAGCCAGTAATGGGAAACTATTAAATAGAAAATACTAACAGAACTTTATTACTGGCCAACAAACTACCTATTTTCAGATTCTCATGCTACCTGATTTTATTTAACCTAACTGTTCTCTTCTCTAATCTTTTTCTCAACTCAAGTCTCCTGAGAGCTTTCTCTTCATGCAGTGGGAGGGAATTTCTCACCAGACTGAACAGAGGATGCGATCTGGATTGCAAAAGACTTTTCCACACAGCATGGATGGATAATCTCTCTCACTCTGACCCTTTAAAAGTCACTGGCATATTAAAAATACGAATAAATAAAAAGGAAAACAGGTGAAAAGTGCCAGTCTGTCTTTTCAGAGGCCAGTTTACAAAGGACAGCTTTAATACAGCATCCAGACCTGTCACACCAAGGTCTAATTGGGCAGTAATAACATTCAATAAATACCTAAAATGCCTAAACGCCAATGAGCCACTAAGGCAGCAAATGGACCCACTCTGTTTTCAAATGTCCAATATATTATCTATAGTAAGCACAAGTGTAACCCTGTAAACAGCTGGTCAGCCAACCCGGAACTGTGCTGAGTGCAAACGAACAGACACTCAGGAGTGGATGCAGAGATGATTGCAAAAGAACACAACCAGGCGCCAACAAGCACAGGGCTGACTTGACAGCCAAAGCTCCCTGCAGCTTAAGTCTGATCTTTCTTAGGCAACACCCCAGCCCAAACGCCAGGCGGGGACACAGGGAGTCCGAGACTTCCAGGGCAGAAGCAGAGTCAGGCTCTGGCTAGTGGACACCAGGAGGGCCATAAGAAGGTTACAGTATAAAAATATGATGGCTGCTAAAGGCTAAAAATAAAAATGTGACAGAAAGCACCATGCATCTGTTTCCTAAGTCACCTGACCAGTAAGGAGAGCCACTAATCAACGGGCAAAAATTTACACTCACTAATTATCAAAATGCAAGTGAAAACGGCGAGTAAAAGAGGAAATACACTGTACCAGAGAGGTAGTCCAGTGGGCAGGGAGCTTGCCTTGCAAACAGCTGACCCAGGTTTGACCTCAGCACCCCCTTGCTATAGTCCCCAAGCACCAACAGGAAGACTCCTGAATACAGAGCCAGGAGTAAGTCCTGAGCAAAGCCGGTAGGGCCAAAAAGAGAGAAAGAGAGAGTACTGTGGGTAGGGTACTTGTCTTGCAAGTAGCCAACCCAGGTTCAATCCGTAGCACCCCACAGGGTCTCCTGAGCAACACCAGGAGTTCGACGCAGTGCACAGAGCCAGAAGTAAGCCCTGAGCATAGTTGGGTGTGACCCAAAAACAATGGACAGCAAAGGATGTCAACAAATGTTAACCCAATAAACTTTTTTAATCTAACTACAAAACAGCATAATTATTATAGTGTTTTAAAATCATTAAAGTTTAGGGGGTCAGAGAGACAGGGTGCTTGATTCACAGGCGGCCACCCCGGGTTCCATTCCCAGCACCCTTTGTATAGTCCCAAGAGTTGCCAGGGGTGATCCCTGAGCACAGAGTCAGGAGTAAGCCCTGAGCACTGCAGATGTGGCCCAAAAACCAAAATAACAGTGAACATAATTTTTTAAATTACCTTATTCTACTTTTTACTAAAAACAAAAAATACAATTAATCCAAAATACTCACTGTGTTAAGTCCTTACAGATTCTACGTGCCCGAACTTTCCACTTTGCATTCCAGAAGTCATCCTATTCTAGTGATGATGCTTGAAATAACAGGGAATGCAGTCCCAACTAACTTTTTACCACCTATGTCTAGGGTTACACATGAACTCTTAAGATACCATCAAACCTTACGCAAGTCATTCTATAATTTATGTCTATTTTAAATTTAAACACTGCTTTTTCTAAAACCTCAGTATTAAGTAACATTTTAATAACTTAACTTTAAAACATTCTTTTTCACTGATAATTTGAGCATACTTTCTATCCCTCCAAATATTTATTTTTGAATTTAATCTTCCAAAGTGAGATTTGATGCTTCACTTCTATTTTAATATAACGACAAGTAATCTGAGTTAAACCATACACAAATGGGAAGACTCGGACAAAGAACTGAATAGTGATACAGAAGGGCCACCGTACCAATACCAGGGGAGTCAATTTCACTTCCAATACTTCCTTCCTCATTTTCTTAATATCGGGAATAGTAGCCTGGCTGGAAGCCGATGCTGACCGACGGGAATTCTTGGGTGGCCGGCCAGCGGATCGGCCCGGGGACCGGGACCGGGACCGGGACCGTGACCGACTCCCTCGGCGTCTGGAAGGAGAACTGGAAGTGGAGCCACTTTTCCTTTGCCTAAAAGAAGTCAGAGGCTGGGAGGGAAGAAGGCAAATTTGAGCTATAATTTGACCATTAAGTCTGAGAGAAGACCACAAATAACAAAAACAGATCCAAAAAAGAGAGGGAACAACTGGTGCCATTAAGGGCATCAACCCTTGCCATTAACTTGGAAACAATCCCTGGAAATGGTGGGCTCTGAAAGACCAGCACAAAGGGCCAGAGAGAGAGCACAGTGGGTAGGGCACATGTCTTGTATGCAGCCAACCAGGGTTTGCTCCCAGCATCCCATGTGATCCCAACTGCACAGGAATAATCCCTGAATACCACTGGTTTTTTTCCTCCCCACCAAAAGAACAAACAAACAAACAAACAGAAAGACAAGGAAGAGTACCAATACACTAGTATTACACCAGTAACATTAATTCTGAGATAAGACAAAAGAAATTTAAAAAGGGGGTGGGGGGGAGGCAGAGTTTTACTCTGAACAAAACCTACAGGCAGATCCTGAAAATAATCACTCATTTGGATTACCTAGCAGATGGTTTCACTCTATCCTCATGAAATCCAAACCAATCATCCCAGTCTGTCCAGAGACCTGGAATCTGGAATGCACACCATTTCCCAGGTCAAAATCTTAGCAGACCCCACCCCGGTTTAGGGTTTTTCCCCCCAAAAAAGGGGGCCATACCAAGAGCAGGGGGGGGGGGTGACAGCAGGAGGGTGGTAAGTAGAAAGTGGGGAGGAACAACCAATGACAGACAGACATGCGATGATGCTTGCTCTGAAGTACCCAGCAGTGCCAAGGAACGTATCCAGGTCCATTCCCTGCCATTATTGTCGAGAGCTTCGCTCCCGTGCAAAGAAGTCACAGGGTCCTTGACACCTAAAATATGTACTGTCTATCACTGAGTCAACAACCTGGCGAATTTCTCTCCTAGAGCACTGAACCTGTCGTCCATAAACTATGGGCCACGGTAATGACCTGCTAATTCTGACAAAGGAATGTTAGGCCTATGGAATCTGACCGTGAAAAATTAAGGCCTCCTGGAACCAGAACAATAGTACAGCAGGTAGGACGCTTGCCTCACACGCTGCAAACCCAGGTTTGATCCCAGCACCTCACAGGTCCCCCAAGCCCACAGTGATTCCCGAGCACAGAGCCGGGAATGAGCCCTAAGCACTACCAGGTGTGAGCCAAAAACCAAAAAAGTAAATAAATTAATAAATGTGAGGCCTTCATTTTCCCCCCAACTGCTTCCTACTTCGCTTTTATATTTTACAAAAGTATGTGCATACCACAGATCAGATTCTTTGAAACCTAGGCCCTCACCACAAAGGCTAGAACAAGTCTAATTCATGTCACACTCAATTAAAAATCTCCAATTTTCAGGATGAAGCTTAGAGCCCTCCAGTTTAGGCTGCTGGTATCCCTATGCTGGCCCTCATCCCTACTTCACCCCCCCACCCCCACCCCCTACACACACACCTGTCCACCCTTCTAACACTGGCTGTGTTCCCATACCACGCCACTAGTATGCTGCCCTCTTGTGGAAGCCGCTGGCTCTGTCACCAGCTTGAACTTTCTCTGAAGCCCGTGAGGCCAGTGTCCATCCCTAACTTCAATGTACCCCAACACCACTCTGGACAAACTTCCACCAAAAAAAAATGAAAAAAAGCTCAACAAGGGAGACAACGGAGGCAAGCATCGTCTTTCCCAGTAAACTGTGAGCCTCTTGGAGACAAGGCACTGCCTCATTCGTACATTTCCGCAGCCAATAACTGTCTGATTCATAGTAGCTGGTGCATGACCTTTGCCTCCAAACCGCCAGAACTGATTGGGGGAAGCCAAAAACCAAACCCAACAGCTCCTTCCCACATGGCCTGATGAAGCGAAGAGCCACTTACCTTGATATCATTCTCCTTCAGTTCCAGTTCGGTTCCATCTTTGTACTTCACGGTATAGAGCTGGGAGCCGGCGTCATGGCTCAGAATTTCTACCTCATAATAAAGCGAACTCCCAGGCCAGCGACCTCTCACCACCTCGCCATCGGCAAATTTTCTACTTGGCATTTTCAAAATCTTAGTCTGAATAGTTTCAAAGGGGGGAAAAAGTGAAATCAATGCATACATACTGACATTTGTCTTTTTTTCATGGGTTGAACATTAAAATACAATTTTCTAAAACTTTGTACTGGTGAAGACCTTGGGAGCAAAAAGTACGTTCAACTTTTTCTCTTTTCTATTTTTTTCTCATTTATTTGTAGCCCCTTTTAATAGTGATATGCCACAAAAAAGCTGCATACCATCAAAAGCCATTTCAAGGGAGAACTTTATTTTTGCATGGTGTCTGGCTGTGTAAAATACTGATAAAAAGAACACAGTATTCAGCCATGCTTGCTTTTGTTTTCTTAACATGAGAAAAGTGAAGCTTGAAGATGTTAATTGCTTAGTCCAAAGACATGAAAATAGAAGGTATGAAATGACAGGATAACACATAGTTCTTTGATTACGTATCACATTTAGAATCACATTCCAGGGGATGATTTATCCACTATCCAGGAGAGTAAGGATTAATTATAAACATACAAAGGCATCAATGGGTCTGGGCAAAATGCTACACCCACAACAAACTGTTGTTTCATGCTAACCAATGAGGCACATCTCACAATTCTGATTTATGAATTTGCATACTCTTACAGAGGCTCTAAAAATACACTTAATTTTCAACAAAATACAAAGTTTAAAAAAATATCAAGCCATCTGGGGAAATCAAGACTGCATCATTACCATTTTTGGAACCCACCAATGGAGGGAGAGATCAGACCTATGATGAACAGCAAACAGGAGTTCATCAAGTTCTTTCAGGTCTGACAGCCAAGGGCCCAAATGCAGAGCAAGATTAACTGCCAATTCCACATACCTGGGAAGCACACACCTGGCCATCATCCTAGTTAGGCTCTCTCCTGCTAAAGCAGACCTCAGTTACAACATTCTTTTTCACTGAACTAAAATATGACCCAGTTTTGTTTAAAAAAAAAAATCTGAAACCACAACTATCTGTCAGAATTGCCATTCTCATGATAAACCGTATGGGCCATCCTTTTTCCTAACTCACCTCATTGCTGGGGGTTCCTAGCTCTGTGGTAGGAATAATATTCCTCCCTCCAACTGACCTGTGGATTTCACATTCTATCTCCCACCTCCACCACCAACGAACTAGTTGGGGCTAATCCGAGAAGCCACCAACAGCCCTGCAGGAAAGATCCCTCCCTAGGAACCAACTAAAGCAACTCTAGACAGCCCCTCACCAGACTGGGTCAGGAGCTAACTCTACAACCAAAACAGCCCATTCTACAACAAAAATAATTCCCAGGGTACCAGAGTGATAGTACAGCAAGTAGGGTGTTTGCCTTGCACATGACAGACCCAGGTTCGATCCCTGGCATCCCATATGGTCCCCCCAAGCACTGCCAGGATAATTCCTGAGGGTAGGGCAGGAGGAAGGGAAGGGAAGGGAAGGGAAGGGAAGGGAAGGGAAGGGAAGGGAAGGGAAGGGAAGGGAAGGGAAGGGAAGGGAAGGGAAGGGAAGGGGAGGGGAAGGGGAGGGGAGGGGAGGGGAGGGGAGGGGAGGGGAGGGGAGGGGGGGAGGGGAGGGGAGGGGAGGGGAGGGGAGGGGAGGGGAGGGAGAGGGGGGAGGGGAGGGGAGGGGAGGGGAGGGGAGGGGAGGGGGGAGGGGAGGAGGAGGGGGAGGGGAGGGGAGGGGAGGGGAGGGGGGAGGGGAGGAGGAGGGGGAGGGGGAGGGAGGGGAAGGGAAGGGAAAAAGAACATCTCAGACCATTTAAAGATGGGGAATTAAGAAAGAAAAAATGGGGCCAGAGAGATAGATGGTTCAGCAGGTAGGGCATTTGGCTTGCATGCAGCCGACCCGGGTTCAATTCCCAGCATCCCATATGGTCCTAAGCACCACCAGGAGCAATTCCTTAGTGAAGAGCCAGGAGTAACCCCTGAGCATCACCAGATGTGACTCAAAAAAGCAAAAAAGCAAGCAAGAAAAAAGTTTCATTGTGAAGACAGTTTCTCCAAAACACCCCATGTCTTCCCATAATGGCCTGAGAAAAGTACTTAACTACAAGCTTCTCTAGTTTGGCTAGTGGCTAGGTCTGCAGATGAAAGAAGATGCAACCACTTATCTAGTGATTAAAGGTTCAGCCCATTTTACAGAAAGAAACAAGCTTCTATATCCAAACCCCTCCCCAGATAGTATCTCTGAAGTAATAATGGCCTAGAGAAGAGAGGAGAGAATCCAGAAACTCTTGAGGCTGAAGTCACACCTGGATGAGGAATAACCTCTGAGGAGGAACCTAGGAGGCCGGGGGATGGGCAGCAGACAGGTCACCTCACAATGTGTACAGGAGCACAAAAAAGGAAGGTGACAATAGCAAAACTCTGCCCATTTCAACACTTGGCTCAGAGCCTACAAGAAAGAGGAAGGAAACAACCCACTTTCTCTCTTCTCATGCCTCCCCACCTTATCCTCAGTCCCATCCCCATCCCCACCCCTAAGACACACACACACACACACACACACACACAAAATCAAACTGCAGGCAACCAATGCCAGGTGACAGCGTCTTTCTTGTCTTTCTACATGAAGATACCAAATTTCAAGCCACTCCTTACCAAAAAAAAAAAAAACCCTTTTGAAACACAGACGCTCATAATTTAAGAGCAATCCAGAATTTTGGGGGATAGTCTTTTTTGGGGGGTGGGGGCGCCATACCCAGCAGTGCTCAGGGGATCACTCCTAGTGGTACCGGGAATTGAATAGCCAGCCAGATGAAAGGTAAGCACCCTACCCACTGTACTATCTGTCTAGTCCCTAGATTTTTTATTCCCTTGGGGCTACGAACAATTTCTGTACCCTTCTGATTTTTATTTATTGGTCTCCTTCTGCTGCACCTATTACACAGCATGTGTGCAACACTGAACAGAGACCAAAGCAATGGAGCTTTCTCCTTTACCAATTAAAAATGTGGAGCTATGCAAAGTAAGTTATCTGGAAGACAGTAGATTTCTATGCTTAAAGTTTTAAGACAAGAATTGGGATTCAAAAAAAAAAGAAAAAGAAATGGGATTTGGGGTAGTGATCAGTGTACATTGGAAAAGAGCACTGTCCTCAGGAGCCTACAAACTAGACAAATGTTCCACATGACTAAACTAGAAGCAATTATGTGCACCCCCGTTCACAAGATCTGAACACAATTGTCCAGGTAATTCACTGCAATCATACCCTAATATGATGCCTTCCAGGTCCAGGGTAATGGTATGTGGCAGGTAGGGGTTTGTGTAGCACATGGCCAAACCCCTGGCACCCCATATGGTCCCCTAAACCTTGCCACGGGTGATCCCTTAGCAAAGAGCCTGAGCAACACCAGGTGTAGCTCAAAGACAAATATACATATATATCCATGTGTCCAGTGCCTACATACACACACTGTCTCTGGTCACCTTTCCTTCACTTGTCTGGAGGTGGCAGAGAAAGGGAAGCGCCTCTGAAATTTTGACGGTGTCCCCATCAACACCTGAGTCCAAAAGGCAAACAGGAACTCGCCGCAGGATGCAACGGCAGCATCACCATCCCGGACATTTCCCCTCAACCGTGTGGATCCCGGACGGCAGTGATCACTCCCCTGCAACTCACTGTCCCCCCTTCTACCGACACAGCTCTCCAAAACGGCCAGAAGGAGCCTCCACTCCTCCCGCTGCGCCCCGGCCCCCATCCTCTCCTTGAAGGCAGCTGCGACAAAAGTGCGCTGGCCCAGCCACTAGTGTTTGTTGGCCAGGCCCCTCGGGCTGAACCCGGGAGCGTGGGTCGAGCGGGCTGTGCGTGCCCCACGAGGCCAGTGGGCAGCACACGTGCCCGAGGCCGGACCGCTGAGACCCAGGAGCGCTGTCCCAGGAGTCCAAGCACCCACAGCAAAGACGCACGCACCGACCCGTGCAATCGTCTGGGAGAGGCGCCTCGAACCCGGTCTTCGGCAATCGAACGCTGCACAAAATGCACCCCTGAGCCAGCTGGACGACGCCGTCAAGGCTCGGTCAAGGCCATGACGGAGGAGGAGAGGGTGGAGAGCAGGCTGGAGGTCTTAGCAGATCCCGCCAATCTGCCCAACTCATTTTTCCAGCGTGCATTTAAAAAAAGAAAAAGGAAAAAAAAAAAAAAACACCGGGCGACGAAATTGAAAGACTTGCACCACGCCGGCACCCCAGCAGTCCGCCCTCCAGAGTCACCAAAGCCGAAACCGAACGAGCCGGCGGCGACCACCTGCGCCCCGTAAGAGTCGTAGCTTTGCAAGCACACTTCCCCATCCGCCGGCTTGCAGCCGCAGGCTCGCCTCCCGCGGGGCAGAACCCGCCAAGTCCCCCCACTTATCTGTCCTAAAAGACGCTCGGGGCCGGCCTGGGAGGGCCGCTGCAGCAGGGCGGGGACAAAGGGGCCGCCGAGGGTCACCCCCACCCCACCCCCCGCACCCCTCCACCGAGCCGGCCCCCACCCGCATCATTTCGCAGCGACGCAGCCCGTCCAAAATGGAGGGAAACGTCGGCGATTTAAACGCGGCGGCTCCATTTCCGCAGCAGCACCCGGAGCGCGCCCGGAGCCTCCGCACGCCGCGGCCCCGAGCGAGCCCCGGCGAGGACGGCGAGGCAGCCGCCGCCGCCGCAGGCCGGGCTGCTCGGGGCCGTCCCCAGCCCACAGCCCCGGCCGCCCCCCTCCGCCGCCGCCGGGAGCGGGTCGCGGGTGGGGGCGCTCACCTGCGTCGAGCTCCGGCGCGAACAAACAGCTCCGGGACAGTCGCCGAGCAGCAACCCGGCGGCGGTTCCGCGCGCGCGACGCCGCCCCGCCGCGCTCCTGTGCCCCGCGCTCCCGCGGCCCGGGCGCGCGCCTCCCAGGCCCCGCCTCCGCCCGCGCCGCCCCCTCGCGGGGCGTCTCCGGGCTCCCATTGGCTCCTCGATCTTTTGAATCGTCCCCGGCGCTGCCGATTGGTCGTGCGCCGCGGAGCATCCGCCCCGCGGGGCTTGGAGAGTCGAGCTTTGTAGCTCCTGCGGCCGAGCGGAGCGCGGCGGGTTGGCTGCTTTTGCAAGCTTGGAGGAGCTCTACCTGACCTGTGCGTTATCGCAATCACCCAGGCACCCCAGCCACCCGCGGACCCCGCCAGTTTTCCGCCCCTACTCTCTTGGCACCCACCACTGCAGCCCGCCAACCTGAATTTGGGGTGCGAGGTGGCGTGGCGAATGAGATAATAAAAAGCTACAAAGTAAATAATAAGCTCACTTGGTGATAACTGAAGACCAACTCGCCCGGACTACGGGTGCTTCTTGCTTAAGAACACTGCAGTGCTCTCCTTAACGGCGTTCTCCGGAAGCCTGGATGCCGAGCAGGGACCATCAGGGAATTCTTTGTCTTGACCAGGGTTGTACTTGGGTAGAACCCGACCTGGACCACAGCTTGAAAACAGTGGGAAGGAGGGAGGGACGAAAGTGTCCAAGGGTTCCCTACAACCACTGCTGTGAGAAGGGGGGGTTACTAACTACTAAGGCGGACGATTCACCAATAAAGGAAAGGATCAACAATACATAGGTCACAGAACTGGAAATTCTGTCCATTCCTCACTGAAATGCCACTTTCATCGCATCCCTCAAATTTGGCTTCAATGGACCTCCAAAATGCTGAATCTTTGCATTGCTAACTCTGAATCTCTTATGAACCTTAACTTTTTTTCCTCCAAGTTATCATCACTGGCTTCCTTCCTTTGAGGTTGAGAGTTTAAAACAGTCCACTGAAAGTTCCCTATTTCTCCGTGTGGTTTTAATCAAAGTGTTACTTAACACTCTTACTAGGCAAGTTTAAGTGTCTTATTACATTAGAAGAAGTGTCCATTTATAATACTGAGCCTAGCTTCAGGTACAAGATTTCTCATCTCAGAATTGTAACTGCAAAACACCCAGGTTTATAATATAAAAACAAAACACTTAATACATTGAACTATTGTCACATCCAGTTTGTCTGGGCCTTTCCAGAGAACAAGCTCTAATACTGATTTTTTTTTTCGTCTTTTGGTGCGATTTTTTGGTTTTGGTTTGGGGGTTTTCGTTCTGAGGCCACACCCAGCAATACTCTAGAGCTGCTCCTGGCTCTACACTCAGGAATTGCTTTTGGAAGTGCTCAGGGGGACCACATGGGATGCTGGGGATCTAACCTGGCTCAGCCACATGCAAGGCAAGTTAGCTACCCACTGTACTATCGCTACAGCCCCCTAAATTGTTACCTGAGATGTCAACGATACTCTAGATGAAAATAGGAACTAAAGAAATGCACACTATACTTCAGAGACAGAACACCCTTATGATTTGGGGCAACCCTAATACTGAGTTGCCTTAGCCCTTAAAGTACAGAATATTAGCTCTGACTCATTTTTTCCAGCAAGTAATATGGAAATGAAACCTATGTTGAGTATTGGGAACTTGTAGTGGTTAATATTCCTAATACCTAGGCCAGTGTTAACATGGTTCTTATAGGTTCAACCCAGAACTATAATTTCACTGGATCTCACATTCCCCAAGTCTTCTGGTTTCTGAAAGAAAGGAAGATTCACAGGGCCAGAAAGATGTTATAGGAGTTAAGACATTTGCGTTGAATGCTGCTAATCCCAGTTTGATTGCTGGCACAGCATGGTCCCTGAGAATCACCAGGGACAAATTAATATGCAGTAAAGGGTATCACTTTAGAAGTTGAGACTGTGCAGTGTCAACCACGATGATCAAGTTGTTTAGATATTTTCAAATATCTAAAGTAAAAGCCACTTGAAACCCCTTGGCAAATGGTTATTCATGTGGCCATGAGTGACACACTTCCCTTCTCCACCTGCAAGGAAAATGAGAAATAGAAAAATAGACCCTGGGCACTGTTGCTGAGCACCCGAGAGACCCACCTGGGTGCCGCACCATAGACACGCTCCATCATGCCTGTTGTTCGGTGTTGCTTCCCAGAGTCTGGGCTGGGAGATCTAGTCAGTTTCACCGGGCTCAGAGGATAGTGTTCCATGAGGCATACACCCATATACGCTGGGAGCTGCGGAAAGCCTTCATTCACAAATTATAAGTGCCGTGAGGTCATCTGATAAGTCACATTTCAACTCGTGCTTTTGAAGCCACTCAATCTGAGTGTTTTCATTCCTAGGGAATGGAATTTATGTTTGACATGATGAAGTAGGGATTAGAGAGATAGTTCAGTAGGTAGGACACTTCCTTTGCTGGCGGCTGACCCTGGTTCATTATATGCCACCACATATGTTCAAGGGCCCACTTACACCTGCTCTGCGCTCGCTCTGCACTCAAGGATCACTCCTGGCAGGGCTCTGGGCACCATATGGATTGGCGAGGAACAAACCTGTGTTGAAGTGGGCAAAGCAAGAGTCTTAACTGCAATAAAAAAAAAAAAACTGTTGTACTTGAGGCAGGAGCAGTATTGTACAGCAGGTAGAGCACTTTCCTTGGATGTAGCTGACCCGGGTTCCTGGCATCCCAATGTTCCCCCAAGCATGGCCAGGAGTAATTCCTGAGTGCAGATCCAGGAGTAACCCCTGAGCATCATTGGATGTGGCACCCAAACAAATAATAACAATAATAATAATTTTTAAATTTTTAAATTAACTGCTGTACTATCTCTCCAGCCCCTCTTTTTTCTTCTTAACATTCTATTGTCAGAGGCCAGTGAAGGAAGCAATAAATGGATTCAAGTTCACTTCCATCTCCAGCTTGGCAGGAAAAACTTCTAGTAGGTGGGTAACTTTTGGTATACCTGAATGTCTGTATGATGGAGATACAAAAGGAAGCAGCAGAAACTAGTACAATAATCATAGTAATAACAAGCCTTTATCTTTTCCTGAATTCATAAGATAAATAAAATATTTTATTTAAGAAAACAGAAAGGAGTAGGGGAGGCAAGGAAGCTCCAGGATTATCGGAGGAGAGTCTGTAAACAAAATTCCTGATCTTTTTTATGTTTTTAAGTGAAGTATAATAGTTCTTTGTGATTTATTTTTGTTTTGCTTTTGGCCACCCCTAGAAGTACTCAGAGCTTACTCCTGACTCTCTGCTCAGGGACCATTCCTGGCAGGCTCTCAGGATCATATGGGTCACTGGGAATTGAACCCAGGTCAGCCACATGCCAGGCAAGTGTCCTACCCACTGTACTATTTCTCTGACCCCAAAGTAGAATAGTTTTATCTAAAGAAATAACTTAATGATAAATTAGGGAATAAAAAGAGGGAAAGAGAGATACATGTTCAAGGAAGAATGTGGGTTTCTCCAGAGGGCAAGATAGCCCAAAACTGTTTTTTTTGGGGGGGGCGATTATCTTTCTACCTCCACCACTGGCTGCACTGTTATGGTTTTGTATCTTTAGCCCTCTAACCAGAAGCTCTGTGAACTCCAGTCTCATCTGTCACTCTCAGCTCTTCTCTAGCAAGTTCCTCATCTGTAAATGAGGGTAATGAAGGTAATGATTATGTTTATTTTATTAGGTAGTTGAGAAGGAGTAAATGAAACTATTATATGCCAAGGTAGAGTAGTCAATAACCTTATTATAACTTCATTTGATTTCAAGTTCCTTAAATTCACCATTGAAATATTATAAATTATAATTAGTGACCAGAAAGATAGTACAGCAGATAAAATCCTTGCACAAGGCCAACTTTAGTTCAATTCCCTGCAACTCTAGGGCCCCTATGCTGCCTGCCTCAGAACCCAGCCAGGAGTGATTCCTGAGCATAGAGTCAAGAGTAAGCCCTGAGCACTGCTAGATATGACTCAAACACACTTTAGAATATAGGGTACTTTTTTTTCTTTTGCTTTTTGGGTCACACCCAGTGATGCACAAGTGTTACTCCTGGCTCTATACTCAGGAATTACTCCTGGCAGTGCTTGGGGGACCATATGGGATGCCAGCGATCGAACCCAGGTTAGCTGCGTGCAAGGCAAACACACTACTCACTATACTATTGCTCCAGCCCCAAATATAGGGTACTTTTATAGAAATAGAAATTATGAATAGAAATAGAAATTGTGAATAAATGTTAATGCATTTGTTGTATTTTTATATAAGTATATAAATCCTTTGATTCCTCTGTTAGTGCACTTCCTTTTTTAAGATTTTTATTCATTGGGACCAGAGCAATAATACATTGGGTACAGGGGGTGCTCGCCTTACACATGGCCGACCTGGGTTCAATCCCCAGCACCACACCTAGTCCCCTGAGCACTACCAGTGTACCCCTGAAAAAAATATAAATGCTACAGGACATTAAATATCTTTTTTTTTTAATTTTTATTGGGGGTGGTGATCATACCTGGCAATACTCGGGACTTACTCCTGTCTCTGCACTAGGGTAACTCCTTGGCTGTACTCAGGGAACAGTGTGTGATGCTGGGCATCAAATCGAGGTTAGCCACATGCAAGGCAAGTGCCATCACCCGTGTACCTTTAGTGCACATCTGACCTTTTAGTATACCCTTAGTGAACATCTAGACCAAATATTCTATTTAAAATCTTTACTTCCATACCATGTTGACTGAAAAAAATCTATGCTACTGGGCTAGACTTAAACTTACAGATCCTGGGGCCAGTACAGCAGGTACTGGGGATGCTCACCTTACACATGGGTTACTCCTGGCTCTGCACTCAAGAATTACTTCTGGCAGTGCTCAGGGAACCATATGAGATGCCAAGTATTGAACTCAGGTTCAACTCACCCTACCAGCTCTACCAGCTGTACTATCTTTTTGGCCCCTGCTTGCCTGCTTGTTTGCTTGCTTCCTCCTTCCTTCCTTTATTCTTTCTTTCCCGTTTTTAATATTTTTAAGCT